GCGACCCGAGTTCAAATCTCGGTGGAACCTACGTTTTTGCATTATACTCCAGCATGAGATGGATGAACTTTTGCTATTGAGAATTGAGTTCTGGAAGTTTAAAACTTTAATTTCTTGAATAATGAATTATCACAAGCTGAAAAGCACTTTGGAGAAGTGAGCTTTCATACATAAATCAATTGATATAAAAGAATAGAAAAATTAGTTCTAGAAGAATACTAATTGATATAAACTCTATACAGTTGTTTCTGGGGTGGCTGTTAAGCGATATCGACGAAATGTAAGAGTTACACCATTCTTAGCGGAAACATTCCGACATTCATCTGACATTCCACTGTAATAAGAACGTGATAATCCTTCCCCATCAGGATGTTTGGATGTCAAATCGCCATTGATTGAATTGAAACATTTGATTCTATTCAAATCTTCAGCTGACTTCGCCATCTTAATGAAAGGATATAAGGTTTGAATATGATTTCTCTGTGTTTTTGTTTCAATTTGGGAGGTGTGGTCAAGAGAGTGCTTCTTACCTGTTGAGCAAATCTAAGATTACGCGAATCACTTTTCTTCTTTGTAGGACTGTTGTTATTCATTAGAACCGCATTCGCTGAGCTCTTCCTCGAAGAACAGTTTGCAATTTCGGACCATCTGAGATAGTTCTTGAAGTCAAAGACATTCTGATCCCAATGAACCTTTCTTTTGTGATTCCGAAATCTTTCACTTTCCGCCACAGTAACTCGGGCGATGTTTGTTGTTGTAAACGTCGATCTGTTCCACAAATACGAATCAGAGAGTCGTCTTCAGAGTTTGGTGTGAAAACCGGGACGGTTTCCTTGAAAGCAGGAAAGGGGTGAATGTGATGTGTTGAAAGGATATTTGATTACCTTCAGACTTTTCGAACGATTGTTGAAAGGGAACCAACTCCTTTTTCGTTCTTTCGGTTGTTCTTCTCTAGACTTTTTCTCTTTGTTTTTGATGGGTGATAGTTGTTTAGGTAAGCCTTTGCCATTTACATAATTAGGATTCTTAGTTAAGCTATTGACAGAGGTGTGAGTGAGAGGGGGAGCTGTCTCGACTTCAACTAGACCACTCTTCTTTCGCTTATCATCTGAAGCAAAACAACAATTACTAAGAGAGAATTAGCATGGAATACTTTGGGCTCGTTGTTCATTCAAATATTCCGCCCATGAAGTGCTCGCCAGCAATAAATCATCTAAAGTTACGTTATCATAATGTGGAGATCCCATGGGAGGAGGAAAGTTCTGGAATATCAAGCATCTTCTGAATGCACATGAATACGAGTATATACCAATGAGAGAGACAGATTTGTGTCAATAGGAGCTAGAGCTGAGTATTTTCGTGTTGCATCCAGATTATTGGAGTTGATTGCTGACGGAGGTAAAGGAAGATTTGAAGGCTTTCGCAAAGGAGCCGGTGGCACAGTGTTGCTTGGTAGATTTGGCAATGGACTATCAGCAGCAGGGTTCGGCTGTAAATATGTTTTTGAGTTTTCTTTTCCAGAATAGAGGTATGTAACAATCAAGAGGATTAAAAACACTTGAACTATTAGAACTCTCAAAATCAACGTGGGGGGAAACTCAAAGGAACTCTCTCATACATACCGGATTATACATAACCTGGTATAACTGATGCTAAAAAGGTTGATTAGAACTAATAATAGAGAGAAAGAATAAAATCAAAGAAACAAACCTGTGATAGTATTGGCTTCATCGTTGGTCTTGACACTTTCTCTGATTCAACCGGAACAATCGTTGGTGGTTCAGAAGGTTCAGTACTTAGTTGTTCGGGCTCATGACTGTTCTCTTTACTTGATGGAGGAGTTTTCCAAATAGGAGATATCATGTCATTCAAAAAATCCTCCGACTTCGTTTTTTTCGTATCGAAACTGCAAAAACAACAGAGTTGAAGATATGCATTGAGAAGGATGAGACTTTTGATTTGATTGTATCAACGCTTTCATGGAAGATGTACTTGTTGTAGCTGACGATGAAGTCGCAGCTGATGAAGTCGTGACATCATGAATGATATTGTTGCAACTGAAAGTTATTTGGATAAGGATATGGCTATGGCATAAAGAAATCAACATCGGATTGTTGAGGTAAAGCTGATGTTCCTCAATATACTCTAACACTTCATCGTCCAAACAATAGCGTACTGATTCTCCACGTCGTATGGCTCGTCTAAAGGAGGATATATTCATGGAACGCCTGTAAGAGTGAGGGAACCTTATTCGCGTCGAACTCACATCCGAAGGATACGTTTCGTCTTCAATGATAAATATATTTTTCTGAAAAACGGAAATTTTACAACTTAAAGACGATTATAATTGAGAATTAATGTCTTTTACTACTAATCGTTAAAAAAACAAACAAAACCTGATTGTTTCGTAAAATATCCATCAAATAAATAATTTTCGATGATGATTGTTGTTGTTTTCCACGTTTCATCACAACTAGTCCATGATTCGATAATAAATCATATAACTAATAAGATTATGATGATTGAAAGCAGTTAATTAAGATAATTACTTCGCTATCTGTCCAATCGTTTAATGAGCCGATGTTTCGAAACGTTTCGAAAGCGTCACTACCACATAAGTTCAAGAGAGCCACATCACTACCGTATTTCTTATGAATTTCCTAAATTAAAATTTAATTCGATTAATTATGTTTCGAAAGGACAACCTTCTGATAATATTTTATCAATGCTATAGGTCTAACATAACCATTTTGCCTAATATTATAATCACCACATCTGAAAAATTCAATTTGATATGATCTTCACTACATCTGCTCCAATGCTAATCTTAATCGCCACGCGATTTACGTGACTTCCCGCCTAAGTGCTCTGATAATCACTTTCAAATCGCAGACGCTCGTGAATGGTTGTTTTTCTAGATAATCCTATTTCTCAGTTTGTGATACTTAGAATAGTGCGTAAGTTTCGTTTTAATGTTGATGGTAACATGTTTATATCTTGCTCGTCATACGAACCTTATCCATGAACTTCGCCTTACAGCCGTTTCAATCATTCGTACACGATGTTTCGATGCTGACAGCTCGCCATGGTGGTTATAGTCAGATGTTGGACATATAATCCCTTCCAGCACTTGACAGTTTAATGTTTTTTGTAAAAAATCTTTGGAACGTTCTGAAAAATAAGCTTGAAAAGAAGGAATTAGTGTATTTACCGAATAATCGTAAATGGCTATAATTAGGAGGATTGAAATCCCCACAACATAGTAAAGCTACCCGTCGATTACATAAATGAGATGATGATGTTGAAGGCTCTGATATCATATCTTATATGATATATCTAAGCTGAAATCACAAGGTTGACAGAAGATTCGGTATTAAAAAACTAAAGAATAACATTAGAAATCAGCTGTTACGTCTAGTTACATGTTGATATAATAAATTGAAAAGCTATCGATAGCAGGTGTCGAAAGAAGTCGCATGTGAGACGAGCTTAGATAAGTTTGAAGATGGACAGCTAAATGTGTGGATATGTGTAAGTCAAGAAGGGTTTTCAAAAAATAAGAAAATACGAGGGAGGCTGGAAGGCTTACAAGTTGACAGGAAGAAAACATTATGAGATTGCAGCAATAATCATCAATCGAAAAACTGTTTTGTTGAGCACAACAAAATAAATATGGAAATAGGGAAATATTCAAATGTTGCCAAACCAGATGTGTCGGGGAGCCCCCAGTGTGCTCGGAGGGAGAGAGAGAGAGAAGGAGAGGAAAAGAAAGGCGGATGTATAAGACTGTCTAGTTTCGCGTCCATTGATGTTTACAAATGTTTGAAGAAGAGAAGTTTTTGTCCATATAAAGCATTTTGATGAACTTTCTCTCGTTTTTTAGATAAAGAGCACTGCTTTTCATTTTTTATTTTCTTTTTTCAAACGGAATATATGAGCAGCTGAAACCACAAGACAAATTATGATAAATTTGACATGGAAAATGATGAGAAGTGAGGTTTCTTCTAACATTCAATGAAATGATAAAATGGATCAAAATTTGGAATACAGTACGGCATATGGAGAGAGCGTAGAGAAAGAGACAGATTTTGTCAAAAGAATGACAAGTGGATGACATGGAATGAGAGGATCAGTTCAACAGGTGACTGAAGTTCTTAAGAGTAAAGAGAGGAGGAGAGGGAGGTGTGGGATGGAGACATCGAGAGCGGCGGGATGAGTAGGGAGAGTTGGAAGGATACAAACCTTCAGGAGGGTAAAAATCTTTTAAAAACCTTTTTTCCGAAAGAAAATTGTGGCATCCGTGACAGAATGTCAAGAAAGATTCAAATTGTTGATCGTTGATGATTTAGAGATATGAAAGTGTATTCCATGGTTTAAAAAATGAATCAAAACAAAAAAGGTCCTGACACGAATACTACAACGGCAATCGAGAAATAGGTAAGATCTTGAGAGGAAGGGGTAACATTACGTTTAGGCGGAAAAGGAATATCGAGATTCAGTGAAATTGTTTGGAAACAAAGCGGAAGGTGAGAACCATATAAACATTTAGAGGGTAGAGGGTCGAGGAGAGTATATGGGTGTAGAGAGAAAAAATAAAAGTTATATGATATAGTTAAGAGATTTAAGTTGTTATGAGGTGAGGTGTGAAAAAGTGGGTAAAAGATAGGCTAGAGGATCGGATTGCATAAATAATGCTCAAGCTTAACTATATGTGAAAGTCGATGTCGACACTACTACTCGCTTCTAATAGAATCTGTTTATGAACCGATGTTAGAATGAAAGATAAGAATGCAGAGATGAAAATGGATTGCAGAAACAAGGGTTGAATGGAAAAATAGCTGATTGACATCTCTTTCTACTTCAAATGATTATATTTAAAATATACTTCTGGCTCTTCCTTCCAACAACAAGCAGATTGTTGATATAAAGAGGAGTCGGAATGAGGAAAAGCCAAATGCAAATTATTTTATGAAAAACGTGCAAATCGTTTCGAAAACGGAAACGAATCAGCACGCCGGCGATGAAAAGATGGCTGAAGGAAGAAAACTTCTTCACAACTTTTCACATCCAAAAATGAAGATCAAACGAGATATTTGATAGAAAACTAAACACAGAAAGAGAGGGAGAAAGAGAGAGAGAGAGAGAATGTAAGATGGAGAGAAACTCACTCAACCGGCTGTTTCCTTCCTTCTCAACTCAAACCTCCTCCCCCTCTCCGTCAGCCATTGCTCTTCCTTTCCATAAATCGCAACACATTTTCCATCCATCTTGCCAAATTTGCCTTCTTTTTTCCTTTTTTAGCTTTCACCACGAAAAATTGACGGAAAAATATTGTAATCTCGTCTCTTTTCACTTTTCCTTCATTTTTTTTGCAATTGCAAAATAAAGGTTAAATTGGCTTCAAGCAGCTTAACGACGTCATTTGGACCGAGCTCCAGAAGATGATTATGACTTTCTCTCCTTTCTTTTTTTTCCTTTTGTCCTTTTTGCCACTTAATCTCCCAGAGCTTTTCACTTAAATCATTCTGAACTTGAAGTTTCAAAAGAATTCGAATCTTCAACGATTTGCCGCATTCGAAAACTTTCTTGTGAACGAAAAAACGGAGCACAAAATGTTAAGCGATAACAGCACTCTTCGTAAAAAAGGAGGAGACGAGAGAGTGTGGCAGACAGAGAGACGGCGAAAGAAAGAGACGAAATCCTGCTACCAATAGGATGCACTGAGTACTAGATCAGATATCATTCGCTTCGTTTTAGTATATTTCCTAGTAATATCCAGTGTGAGGATGTTTTTGTGGAGATCGCCAAACCAATTTTGAACTCATTCAATTCTTAATCTTCTGGGGGTTTGAAATCTCTGCCTAGCCCTCTCTCAACTACGTCTATCCTTGCCTCTCTCTCACTTTCTCTCTCTTACTCTCTCTCTACCACTCGCCTGAGGCTTCAATCTCTTTCCATATCATACTCTCTTTGAATATTATAAACAAAATTAAAAATATGAATTGGTCGTTGCAATCAAAATCAAATTCAATTAGCAAGTTGCCGCTGTGGGACCATATACTCATATGACGCCAGAACGAAAACGCTGAATTCAAATTTTGAGTTTCAAATGGTAGACGCTGGACGGTTAATTTGCCCAAACGACGTTTTTTGCACTTTTTGACTTTTTTAACGCATATAAACGAATAAATAATAATTTTATTTCAATTATCATTTTTAAAACAAAAAAAATTTTACAATTTGAAAAATTCAAATGGCTGAACAGTAAGTTGTTCAGCCGTACCAAGATGTGGATGATAGACACACCATGGTATATCATCCACATATTGTCCTCAGCGATATACATTGTTGGCCAATCATCAAATTTGAAGACATTATCGCTAATGCGAGTAGCACCTAAGTCCATCTGAAAAAATCAAAATTAACAAAATAAATATTCAAAAAAACGTACCAACGCGGTTGAAACGATTTGTTTGTTGACTTCAAAGTTTCCATAATTCAAGAAAGCTGCTTGGTAGCTTAATACAAAGACAGGGTCATCATCATTTGCGGGCTCCCGTACTGTCCTAACCCGTTAGCTTGTCGCGTTGCTTGCGCTAAAAACAGAAGGTGTCACAAATTAAGAGAAATAAATTTGGGGTAAAAAAATAAAAAAATAGTGTAAAAGTAGATTTTTAAAAAAAGAAAATGAGCAACTGCTTCTTTACTAAAACTCGCGCCTGAAATTGGAGCTTAACATTCACTTTCTTTCTCACAACATACGAAGACTCGAACGCTTCTCTTTTCAGTTCCTCTTATCGCCTTCGGCAAGAGTACCCAAGAAAGTTCATCTCTTTGTTTTCTCATTTCCTATCCTAGTATGAGCCCCTTTTGAGAGATAATTTCAAATTCTCGTAGTTCACGTGAAGTTTTGCGTGAATGACGCCACCGTTGCACTTCACTCATATAATAGAACAGACGTAATGACCGGTTGATTACTTTCCCTCTCTCCCATGTTTTCCAACTGATGATTGTAGTTTTCAGATTTCTGCACAACGGAAAGTACTGGGAAAACGAGAACTTGGAAGCTAATTGTTGATTATGGCAATGAACAAAAGCCATGGAGAAATGAGCAAAATGATGATTAATGTGACACAAAATAAACTTTTCTCCGAAATCTTTTTTTAGAAACGAAAGTTTCAATTTCGCCCGCGAGAAAAGGAATCTCTCATTGTGTAAGACAAAAAGCTCTCACAAAGCATCACACATCACAGATGGTTGTCATGACTATGCATGGTCTTTTTGACTAAAATTAGATGAAGACGTTCGTGAAAAAAATAATTTATTAATCGAATGACGTCATTACATAGTAAATTGGTCACTAAACTATACGTATAGTTTATTGAATTCCATTTGATGATAGTGGCGTGTTCTTATGTTTCTGGCTCTTAGTTCGAGCTTTGGTCATCTTGCGAACTGTGCGTCGCTTTTGGCGTGTATCCAGTGCAACACTACTGTTTTCTGGATCGTCAACTGAAATTATATCCCGGATGTTTTTGGATGGTTTTATTTCAGAAGAACCCGTCTGCTTCAACAATACGGCAGCTTCATCATCATCAGCTACACTACGACGATCAACTTGTGCATGAGGAGCATCATTAATGGCTTCATTTACGGCAGCTTCATGTGCTTAATAAATCAAACATGAGATAAATTGTCTACGCTGTTTAGACAAACTTTCTCTCCTCACTTCGATTATTGTTGCTTCAGCGACTGGCTGAGCATTAGATGAGACTGAAACAAGGAAATTATCGAAAACCGAACTGCAATGAGTATGGCAAGAGGAAACGAACCATTTGATTGTTTTTCTAGTTCACAGTAGATTTGTGAGACGAATATAGAAAAAATGACGCAAAAACGATTGTAATTCATCTAGTCAGATGGCCTGATGAGCGGGAGTGAAGATGTTGGGACAATGAAGTCAAAGGCGGTACTTTTGTGTTTCCAAATGAGAAGCTTTTCGTTGCTACGGGATTGATGAATAGACGTTGTGACATTCTCTCACATTCTTATTTAACAAGTTCTATGCTCTCTAGTCAACTATTCTCTACGTTTCTCATCATATTTCCATTTTCTTTTCAAAATGAAGTTTCTGCGAAAATGGGAGGATGTTGGTTAATATTGCCCGAAGATTCCAGAAATCACATGTTTTTCTTTTCAAGTTAGTAAGTACAACCGAAGAACAAGTAGGTGAATACAACTCCCCGGGAGACTTAGAGGAGTAAAGAGCAGAAAGGGAATGGGAACGAAAGAGAGAGAGAGAGTTTTGAGAGTTCGTTATTAATTCAACCGCTCATCACGTCCGATAGCTTTAAAATAGTGTTATGGATGCGTAAACGTGGAATGAGCACAACTCACGTGCATGTGCGTGGCACACGTACATCCTCCTCCCCTTAGCCGAACATTCGATGTCCTCAAAATGAAATTACGATCGGAGATTGGATGAATGAACGTTAAAGTATCACATAAATAAAAATACTTTTATTCAACGGAGCGACAGACAGATGATAGATAGAGACACAGACATAAACAATAATATCTTTAAGTAGGAGAATATATATCTATTTATATATATATGGAAGTATATATATATAGTTTAAGGTGGTCGAGAAGATATAAATTAGCATAAATTACAATTTTAATTAAAAAAACGCCTTTAATCAAGCATGGAGATGGAAGATGAGGATGAGGATGAGGAAGGATACTCAAAAGACAAAACAATTCACAAGACCGGGTACTGAAACTTTTCAATTCTTTTTTCTCTCTTGAAAATCAATCAATAATCATCGACCAGAGAAGAGCAAGTCAGTATACGGTAATGATAACTGCCGTCGTCCAAATGGCATTGGCCCAAAGCCAAAATTCGAATAGAACGTTGGTGGAAACACAGTAAACTTTCGTTTTCGGATCTTTGAACAAGACATTTAGGAAAAAATAAATTCAAGCGGCTCACCTGTCGACGTTCTGTGTCAGCATAGTTTTGAACATTTTTCAATCGTAGTGATGATAGACTGTCTTTCAGCAATAACTCAACTGGATCACTGTAAAGCATGCGTCTCATGTGATTAAGTGGAACGAGATCAAGCTACCTCACATATCCGATTCGGTTGAAGCGGGCATTCACAGAGAGTAACAAGAATAGGAAGAAGAAGGCAAACTGGATATTTCGCATCATTTGGGTCGGTTGGTTCGTTTTTTTCACTTATTTGGGTAAATCTGAAACGTGTGTCTAAATAGTCAAATCAAAACCTTTTTTTTGTGTTGAGAATAATAAGCGAAAAGAGAGTATAGTTACTTCGTAGGCGGGTAACTGCGAAGGCAGATAAGACACAGAGCGATTTACTATGTTGTCTTCAAAGCCTTCTACCTAAAGGCCATTTACATAGACAGCGAATGAAAATAGCAAAAAAATTTTCTTTTTCGCCAGGAAATTGATGTTCCCGGAAAAACAGAGAGCCACTCCGGTTCTGTGGCAGATAGGATGTCGCTGTGAAGAGACTGGAGAGAGGGAAAGAGAGAAAGAGAGAGAGAGAGAGATGGGAGTGGGATGGGGAGGATTTCAATTTTTTTCCCAAAAAAACAACAAGAAGAGTTCAAAATTTAACAAAAATTGTAAATCCGACATGAATGCTTCTGTGCAACATCTCGTCATTGCTTAATTCTCCGACGTATTTTTTATTTTTTTGTTTAGATGGGGAGAGTGTTTGAGGTTTTTTGGCTGGGAACAAAGAAATAATAGCGTGGAAGGAGAGAAATTCTTTACAAGAAAAAATAATTTGAGAAAGTAATTCAGAATAAGAATTGTGTGTTGAGTGTAATTGGAAAAATCTTTTGAATAAATAAATATTTTAGATAGAGATATTTAAAAAAAAGAATTTGGAAGGCAGAGAGAGAGGGAGAGAGAGACAGGAGGGGGAGTATGAAATAGCTGATGAGCCAGAAGGCAAAAGCCAGATTGAAGTAAGCTGAAATCAAATATTACTTCTCAGAAGTAGAAAGAGTGGGAGAATGAGAACGAGTTATATCGAAATCAGAAGATAGTAGACGTATAGAATATCTTAGATTATACATATATAGTTAATTTCGATATAGATACTTCCTTCACATGAGCATGGTGAGAGAGAGAGCAGAGAGCGCAGACAGTTTGTGCCATATGAAAACAATACAGTAAATGAGGAGGTCAGGTGAGAAGGGAAGAGTAAAGACGAAAGGTTACGAGGAAGCAGCAGGACATTGTCTTCCAATACCTATTGTTTCTCGAACGGAATCCTCACATGGGTTTGTCTAGAACATGACGTTACTCTCAAATAAAGGAGGGATGAAGCTTAAAGCTTCATTTGGAAAAAAATGTTTTGTTCGATCTATCCCATCGGGCTAATGACGTCAAGTGAAGTAGGAGGAAAGGTTCAAGCTTATGTATAGAAGCTGGAGCTTTGCTGACATCTTTAATGACCTTTGGAGAAATAAATGTTTGGGAAAATGATGGAGTTGAAATGATAAGAGGATTGAAAATGTATTTACTTATTCAACAGAGTTTTCCTTCGAGTACATCGTTGCTTACTTCGAATGTCAAATTCGGACTGATGATGCTGATGTCGGTGATGTGGATGATGATGAGGAGATGAAATTGAACACAGAAGTCAAATAAGACAAAAAATGAGGACAAAATGATAAATTTCACATAAAACAAAGGGTCTGCGTTTGTTTGTTTATTTTTTTGTCGTCTGTCCTGTCTGTCCCTACGGACCGTCAGGCGACATAAGCTGTGCTGATGCGTAAATTAAATTATTCTGGAGGAACGACGACAATACAGAAAATGTTCTTTAAGAGAAAAAATAAATAAAAAAAAAGACTCAAGCGTTCTGTTCTTCGTAGTTGACAGGGATGAGAATGAGTAGTCTGGACTTCAGGGGACACTGGAGAGGAAACGCAACCTTCTTCTTCTGTGTGTGGAGAGATGAGAGGTGAAGAGAGAGGACGTGAAACTTCTGCTCCAACGGTTGGAAGAATGATCTCGAATCATCTGATTGAATTGAGAATAGAAGAGGAAAAGCTTCAAATAGATTTCTTAGATCGTTCTTCTGCATAGGAAATAGAATTCAAAATAGCGAGAGAACAAAGAAATGGAAGATTCTTTCAATCAAAGCTCAACAAGAAGCAACCTTGCCGAGAGTAAGTCTGAGAAGATATTTGAATGAAGAGGAGGATCATTTCTCAAGAGCTTTTTCTTCGTCTATTCAAAAGGAAAATCTGCGATTGTGTTTTCTTAGAGCAAAATTTGATACGAAACATCAAAAAAACATTTCCATCTATAACTCATGTGTTTTCGAGTTTTTCTAAAGGATTTTTGGTGCTTCAGGATTATTTGAGTTTCTCTTCTTACTGATTTCATTCGAAGTCATATAAGGGCATTAAGATGTGGGAGGAAGAGATAAAGAGAGTGTTTAGAAGGGTGCTGCTTCCCAAAGAGGGGAAACAGGAGACAGACTGAAAGGGAGGGAGGGAGGTTGGGTGGAGAGATGATTGATTCACAGAAGGAGAGCAAAAGGAGGACTTCGTATTACGAGAGAAGCTTGAAGAGGAAAAAAAAGGATAAAATGGAAGAGAGAGAGAGAGAGAGAGAGAGAGAGAGAGAGAGAGAGACATGGAATTTGTTTTTTTTCCAATGGTTCTGTGAGAAAACGAATGAGCAGTTCAGACTTCCTGTTCTTATAGAATAAAATTTATTTAAAAATAAAGCCATTAATATTGCAATGAATATTTCAAATGATATTCGAGTCGGGTGTTGTTGAAGAGAGCTTTGACATCTGTGCAGGTAATCCTAACCATGTATCAACAAAATATTCTGTCTTATTAATCATTTTATCCATGAGGGAGTTAGGACGCGGCCAGTCGGAATAGTAGACAATCTGGAATGTAGGAGAGGGTTCATTCAGTGCACTTCCTTGTTGCGACAACTATCTCTACCTGGTTCTGGTACTGACTCAGATAAGAAGCCCACCATCCGAATGTGCCTGTCGATTGAATAATCCAATCAGACATTGATAATACAGCCATGTCAACTTCTCTCCATTCGCCAGGACAGAAATAAATTGGTCCTAAACAGAAATCACCAAAATTAATAATTTCCAAAAAATTATCGATTTTCCTACCAAATTCTTTTTTTGTGAATGTTTTTCTTGCCCATTTCATATCATCTGAGCAAATCACAAAAAATGACTAAAATTGTTTTTTTTCTCTTTAATACAGATTATTAGCCTTAATTACCCTGGGATTTTGTTTTTTTAACAGCTGCATAGTCGTTTGGTAGTAATTGATAGGAGCAGACACATGGCCATGTGCTGTATTTCTCGAATTTAATCTAATGTCAATGCCGTGTCGGGCATGGACACCTATTACAGTTGTCTGCGAATCCACTAAAATCAACCAAGATTAATTATTTTCGGATTAATTTGTTTGAATATCCTACGTGGGTTGTCGTCAACCAAGATATGTTGGTCATCTGGATTTCCTTCAGTATCGTGTCCCATCTCAATGGCATACTCGAACATACAATTTCTCAGGAAATTGCTTGCCTTCACATGATCACATTAACAATAGTTCTGTTTCTTGATGTTCTTACCTTCTCCTTCACTTCCGGCAAGAACATGAAGAGATGTTGAAGATCATTGGAGTACTTTGGATGGAAGTAACGCGAGTTTTGGAAATAACCCAGAAAAACTTTCCTTGGGCTCTTGGGGTTGAAAGGTATGCCACTAACTGGCTTATATTGACAACAGTTCTGAATGAGTTCACATCTATTTTATCGATTAGTCTCTTACTGAATGTTATATGCTAATGAGATAGAGAGCATACATCCTACGCGTCTCTCATTTTCGCGCGGACTGCAGAAGCGAGCGGTTGATTTCATATTTTCTCTCTTTCATTCTCTCTGATTAGTTATTTTGAGTTCTTATTTACAAAGTTATTTTTTTCTACTTCTTTAGCCTCTTCTCTGATTTAGTTATTACTTCAGTTAGTCAACTCACTCTTAAGTGCATGAATGGTTTAGAGGAAGTGAGCACTTCGTTCATTAGGTCATCTTCAACCACAATTATATCCTCTGACAACGTAAAAGCTCTGAGCAGCAGATTACTTTGAGGTATGACTATTTGTGCATTATGGCCCGTAGCTATACTGTACAGTGAGGCCATTTGAAACATCAAATTTCCCAATCCTAAAAAATTTCATAAGTTAGGGAGAGTTTTATGACTAGTAGAAGTGTGGGTGTACCTTTACTATAAGTGTAATTAGAGAAAATAAGATGTTTGTTCAATTTCTCTAATTCTTCTATTGTTTTGTACGCATAACGGTATGGAAGTGACCAGGGCTGATTGAATACTTCCGATGCACCTGAGGTTACATGTTCTCTTACCATTATGTTATCTGTAGGCTAACTTACCTCCCTGCGGGAAAACTCTCCGTTGCTTTATAACAGTAGGCTGCGCAAATGATTTTACATTAGACTCGGAAGATATGACTTCGTGAGATGTAGATTTATTGGCAGATGTGAGTACTGCCTGTCTGCTATTGTTGACTGAGAGGACATTCACTAATACTGTGACTGATCCATAGAATACTAGGCAGCAAGCAATGACAAATCCCAAACCTTTAAAGTATATAGTATTTGAAACAACAATTGTACTTGTTATGTTTTGAAACATTCAAACTAAAAAAACAAAGAAACCAAAAATGTTACCTGAACGTCGCCGCATATAACCTGATGACCTTCTTCCGTCTTAACTAACTAGCGATTTTCATTGTCCATTTACATCACACAGCCCCATTTGACATAATTTTGGACGCGAACCAAAAGAAGAATTTCGTGATAACAAACGGTCAAAGAAAAGAATATTTTGCCCAACTTCCCCCTCCCCCCCCTTTCTCGCTCATCATTAAACAAATTGAGACAAATGGTTGTGCTTTGTATTTTTGACATAACAACCGAGCTGTATAGATGAATTCATGTTCTATCGGTAATGCAGCGCTCTATAATTTCTCCAATTTTAATGATTTTTGTGTGTACACATCCGATCGATAAGTTCTGCTCCCCTCCCACTTCCAATCTAACGAAGCATTCCCCCATGTCGTTGCTTTAGTTTGGCGATGTAAGCAGTGCGCCAGCTTTTATCATTATCGATAAATCTTCTCGTAACTTTTCTCTTTTCTCTTATTAATTTTCTTTTTCCTATTATTCTTCCTCTATCCATATTGCATATGTCTGCAACCTCTAGATCCGCCATGCTGCTTCTGTCACGAAAGGCCGCGAATACCCGATTATTGGCGCGAAACCCACTCTTCTCATTTGCTATAGGCCACATTACTCTCATGTATTCAAAAATTATTATTTTTTATATACAATACTCATGTGTTCTCGCGAATCCGAACGTACGTGTTTGCATATCTTGTGTAGGGAAACAAGGAGAGGTGGTTTGTAACGCGCTCCACAGCTAAAATTCCTTGTTCATGACGCTATAAATATTTTTGTTTGAATAATTTACCATTCTTATATATATATATTTATATATATACATATATAGATAAATAGATAAATATAAAGACTATTCAAATTTTTCGTTCATTACAGAGACAGTAGAGAGAATGAAGCGGGGAAGATTGAAGCAAAGTAGTGATGTAAGTTTTTTCTCCAACAAAATTCTTTACACTAAACGTGTCTTTATGAAAATTATTCTCTTTTTAGCCTGTAGTTTCGGAAAAAAGACTAAAACTCGCCAATAAACAATCCAAACAAGGTTATTCCTTACTCTCACTTCGCCTTCTCTAAATTTCATATCAGAGTCCAAAACTAAAGCTGAAAGCAAAGCAAAAGTTACCAAGATCAAAATAAAAAAGGAAGAGGATGAAGAAGCACCCGTATATGTTGGAACTCGAGGTTTCACTCAAACCTCATACATACCTCATGTCAACTTTACAGATATTTTTATGGAAAGCATAGAGAAACATTATTACAAAAAATATGAAATTCAAAAGCGCGGTAAGTCTCAATACCGGGATACTCGTGAAAGGGTAGCCGCCGTCAAACGGATCGAGCAAGCAGTAAGCCATTTCCTTATTTTTCTTTTTTAATTACATGTATATTAGCTTGTGGAAGGCGTCGATCAAATAGTCACACTTGAGTTTTTCAATTTTACCGATTTACTAGGACCAGGTAATCTCTTTCCTTCCATTGTTGTTTATGAACTTTCCGCTCTCCAGGAACTTCCGAACATGTAGATGCTGATGTCGAAATCATCATTTTCGATGACAAAGACAGACTTTTGAGCAATGTGTGTTTAGTTCGAATACTTTCATTTCAATTGCATTCGGTTGTAGGTACCAGTGTTTCGAGGTAAAATTTCTACCGCAAGTACTCCTAAGAGCGGCGCAAACGTCGTGTATTTCCCCATTAGTCAGGAGGTTGATAAACGAGCAGAGTAAGTCTTACGAAGCATTACTTTGATTCATTTTGTTTGTCTCAGAAACGTTTACGTGTTTTGTACAGTTCGAAATGTTCCCGTTAATGATACTAGAGGTAACTACTCTTCTTCGACTGCTCTAGTAATCTATTCCAATTTCAGATAGAAAGCGAGGAATGAGGTCTTCCAGGTCTTCTTCGAAGGAAAATCTAGAATTTGTAAGTTTTATCTGTTTCGCTATCAGTGATACCTGCGGTTTAGAAAACGTTTTATGGGGTTCGAAAGATAATGATGCGGCGAGACGATGAGCTCGAGATGAAAAGCCCGAACGCTTCTATCATTCTTGAGTAAGCAGACGGATTATTTGAAATTGATATTTTTGTTTTTGTAGTCACATGGATGGCCCATCTAATGTAGGAAGTATCATTAAGAATAATAACTGGAAATCTGACAGTGAGCTGTTGAACAAGTTCTATAGTGCTACAGCTAATGCTAACGTCCGGAGCTCACTACCAGCAGTAACGTTTGAGATATCAGATGAACACATCGAAGAGGATTGGAATGATATTGAGTTAGATTTGAAAACACGTTTCAAAGACTTTGTCAGATCACCTTCAGAGGATTTTGTAGTCAAGTAAGAAAAATAGTGCTTGATATGCATAAACGTTATACTCTCTAGGTTCGTTGAAGATCTTGTTGGCTCTCCAGAAAAAGAAAATGGAGACCCCGAAGGTGTTTTCGAAGATCCCGGACGGTTTTTGTTGGGAATGAGCAGCTATACATGTCCTGTGAGCATCAAAACCTTCATAAACGTCGAGGACTTAGTCTCGTATATGAGTATGGTGTGTAACAGATTAGAGTTCAGGATCGTGGTAAGTGAATGATTCTGTGATCAAGACATGTCTTTCCATTTTCAGTCGCCAAGAATCATTGCTGTTTCTGAGAGTAATAAGACTGCGCCGTAAGATTTTTTTTGTTGTAATTGATTAAGATTTGTCGATGTTCCAGAGTGGTGTTTGAAACAGTAATTGAAAGGAAAGCGAAAGCCCCCAAGATGACTAAACGGGAACCTGGCATAATTCCTTACCTGAGCATGCCTTTTGCGAATATCATTAAGGAACCGTGAGTATCTGAAATCCAAAGATGATGAATAGAATGATTTTCAGTATTAAACTATATCCTGGTGAGCAATTCGTGATGCATCGCTCAAGTAGTGATTGGTATGCTGAAAACACACACAGAGTATGTATTTCCGAGAGTTTCTTGCAAGTAACCGTGTCTTTCAGAGAATCTGGGAGTTCATTGATGCAACTGACAAAGAAAAGAAATTCATGGAGCAGTTCGACGTGTTTTTCTCACAAAAATCCAATTACCCGCCTGTTTCTAGGAATATGAAAAGACTTCAAATAGTATGTGCTCTTTGAGAGTAAGATCTAATGATCATGTTCATCTTGCAGGCTAAATTCGTAGAAGCTAACAGTGAGTGGCTTAAGAAGGAACGTCTCATCAGTTTGATGACAACCTTCCTGAACCAGTGCTTTACAGCAGATATTATAAGTGCCGATGATATGTATGAGTTATTACTGTCGCTTGCTGAATGAGCGTCTTAACTTTGATGGAACCTTGTGCTTTCCGTTTTACGTGTGAGGCATATGATGATTGGTTAACTTGAATTTAGCTAACGTTTAATTCCACGATCTCGTATTGTCTCTCAACTTCATTTATACTTTTTGAACTATTCTTGCCCCGTCACCCTAATATAATCTATAATATTGAACTATCTTCATACTATGTTAAGATTTTAGGCATACTTTCATTGTTCTATGCATAGATGTCGGATTTGTTGTTAACATGTATAGTTGTGAATATCAATCTTGGATGCGAAAGTTCAAGTATGTGCATCTTGATCCCGACTGTTTTCCTTCCTCATTATAAAAAGGCCTGTTGTCCTTAATTATCTTCTTGGAAACGATAATGTCCAAACCCGCTAATGTCAGAACATCGGCATGGGAACGAGAAAGCTTAGAAAAGATCTTTTCTGTACAAATTTTTAAAATTTTGTCCAGCTGGACGCACGGAACGTTTGCATTCTATTGTTTTAAGTAGGATAAAAATTTTGAATTGTAATGGAATATTCTTATTTTCTATTGTGGAGCGTGGTTACCAAACGATCTGTTTAACGTTGTCGATACTTGTCGTGCCTGAATGCTAACTAATATAAAAAATGGAATGTCCTACTTACAGATGAATGAAATAAAAATTGTGACATCGAAAGAACGACCAAGACATCCTCCAGAAATACGATTAGAACGAATAGGAGAGTTCACTGTCGGCCATAACGATGGAATCACATTGGGACGTTCTAAGGCCAGATACATCTATGTCAAAGGTGGCGACTCAAAGCTGAACTATGATCTCAACAAAAATTTCGACACATGGAAGAAGAAAGTAGGTGTAGGAAGTGTGAATTTCAAAACCTGTATTTCCAATAGGAGGATAAATTGATGAAGGATATAACAGACTGGATCATGCTGCAAGGTCCTCCCGACGGGAAAATGAAAAAGGTTATCACTGTACTAGTTCTGGCATGATGCCAAAAGTTGCAGAGTATTTACAATGCAGATTTCGTTTGTTTCCGAGGTCTCCTAACGAAAGTAGGATGTGCTGCATTTGTGAATAGGAATGATTCCTGGGAAGCTAGAGCGATCAAGATAGATGGCATTATCTACATTTGTGAAGTTCCAACCCCCGAAGAGCTAGAGAGGTGATTACAACAAGTTATATCAAAGAAAACTTTTTTAGACGGACTAAGTTGACTGAGAAAGATGAATTGATGTGCTACTATGGCCATAAATTCGAACAATACGTTACCTCGCCTACTCAACCAACGGTCAACATTCTGCGCAGCAGCTTCATTCTGGAACAAACATGTCTGTTTTAGGACGTACCAGACACAGACGCGCCAATAGGCACTGCCGACGAATTCGTGACTGTCTACAAGGCAACGCTTTATCACGAAAGATCAAAGTTGAAAGTTTTGTATATGGGTGAAGTCGACTGTTTGACACCAGGTTTGAGAAAGCTATGTAGTCTCATATACAAATTCTCTAAGATGGAGAATACATTGAGCTGAAGACCACAAAGGGTGGTTTGAATCTTGATCGTCAGTTTCAAAAAGTTTGTAAATGGTGGCTACAGTCCTATTTGGTGAAATGCGACCGAATATACGTTGGCCATCGAACTTCCGAAGGTTTCGTTTATGGAGTATGTAAACAGTTTATTTACTTTCCACAATAGCTGTGTTTAGATTAGCAAATTAGGATTGAACGACCAAGAGTTCCGAAGTAAAATGCCAATGGAGCAAATGATGAATCAAATAGCCTCTTTCTTGAATACTGTCAAGAGATTCTTGGAAAACGATGATGATTCCTGCACAATACGTAAAACCGAAGGTCAAATCATGGTAACAAGGACCGAGAGAGGGAACAATCACGGAATATTCTCTGAGGAGTTCCGAAATTACATCAACACAGATCGACAGAGTCGAAGTTCGTAGATAATCATTCTCTTCCTCTGTACATCATGGTGCTATTATTTATTAAACTATCCGAAAACAAGTCTTCAGTTCTGATTACCGGTGTAGATGGCATATCGGATAGTGCGTTCCAGAGTTCTCTTTCACATGAATATAATATGAAACATTTTATTAGTACAAGGCTCTATGAACAGATAAATTAGTGTTAAGACTATCTCCTGCGAGCTACTTCCTCAGATGGCAAACTCTTATGTTTCAGTGAAGCGTCATATCTGCAACGAACTATTGAGCTATGAGATACTGTCTGGGTATACCTATCAGTAGGCAGTTCTAACGCTAAACGGGCAGCATGCTCGCCAGTTCCCCAGCCTAAGGTAAAGCCATTTCCACCATGTCCATAGTTGTGAACAGCCTGTGGTATATCCTCAACTAGTTATTGAAACAAAGAAACTAACTTTGTAAGCTTTTCCTGATTTCGTGATTCGCAATTGAGATTCAACCCTGATCTTTTCACGTCCTGGTCGGAAACCGACATAACTTCCGATGACTTTCACATTCTAAACAACATAAGTAAGAGTATTCAGAATGTATGGGATTACCTTGAAGGATGGCTGTAAAGCTGTGTAGCGACCCCAAACTTCAGCTTGTTCCTCAGAAGACAACAAAGGATCTGTACCATTTTCCTGTTTGACAGTACCAACGACAACAGAATCAATCCTTGAAAGAAACATAAGATACGAAACAAGTTGTGCCTTACATAGGAATTGTGAATGTTCCGAAATCGCGATAAAGGAAATGTTTCTGCCATGGAGCATCAACCTAAAACAGTAGTGTAATGCGATAGCAGTGCTAGCTCAACCTTAAGAAGAATTCCTCTGATGGGGAAAACACCGTAATCATCTCCAGCTAATTTACCTCCATTGATGCCAGCACAATTCACTACTACAGAATAGCCATCTTCTGCAATCTACTCGAAGTCACAGAATGCAAAAACTGACAAAGCTTACTTCATCAAGAGAAGTGACATTTCTTTCGTGGAATTTTACGCCAAGTTTTATCAGCTCTTCTTTCAGGAACGGACAGTAACGGCCTCCTTCAGATGTGTAAGCTGTATAGTGGATACATTCCGTGGTACCACTGAACATTTGATGTATACTCGAAACGACGTTAAACTCACTCATCATTGGACAAGTCAAATTGTGATTGCATTTCCCAATCTTCTAGGTAGCGGAAGTTGTATACTATATCAGCATAGTTGTTAGCCTGAGTACATTGTCAGTACAAGGATCCTTGAGGAACAGGTACCTGTTTGATAAGATCATCCTTCTTTTTCGAGAGAATGTGACCGGAAATGAGTTGAACGCCGGACAAACCACCAACCGTTCTCCATAACTTTGCTAGATGTGAAAACGTGGCATTTCCATATTCCCTAGAAAGATTTTGAGTTAGCGACGAACGAATCTGTCATTAACGTACTTATAGTCTCCATTATCGATACGGAACAAACCGGCAATATTTTTGGACAAGGACTCATTGAATGGACGATCGTGGAAGATTGTGATCTTAATTAGAACGAAAACCTGCCAGCGGAAGCTTCATCATGAAATACCTCAGCGTCTGGTGACAGTTCTTTTATATGCAAAGCTGTGCTAAGACCAATTACACCTTCTCCAATAACGGCAACTCTTAAACCCAGACAAGCGCCTTGTTGAGAAATAAACACATGTAAACTTAATTAGAAAATTCACTTACCCACTAGTGATAATAGAAATATTAATCGGCGCTCCATTGTTAATCCAGTTACTCCGTAAGTCAAGCCTGTATGTGGTTATGGTTATTTTACTTTTCTTCACTCCCATATTTGAATTCTTAACGATGACGACTTGTGTAGATCAAATAATACCGGGCCAGGTTATTGATGTGTTTGTAGTATTCAGATGCTAACATTCTCACGTTCAAATTGAAGAGGCTTATATCCTTTTTTTAATTGAATTTTGAATTTCGCGCGCTTACTAGCCAAACGAGCATGTTATAAATTCATTTCATCGAATGTAGGCGCACGGAGTGGTTGTGTATCTATGAGGAGCAAAATGAAGGAGGCTTTCATACAAAGTAAAGGTTTATATTTTTGATTAAGGAACGAAATCAAATATACAATTTATGGACAAAGAAACGAAGCAAGAAAGGAGTTAGTTATCACTTCAATTAGTGGAATGGAGATCGAATAATGCTGAAACTTGCCTTCGAATAGGGAATAACTTCTGTATGACCTTCGAGGAAAGGCTGAAAGAGGTTTGTTCGCCTCTATTTATCTGTTACATGCCTATGGTATACAAACAATACTTATATTTTCGGTTGAAAAAAAAGGTATGAGTACGTCACAAATAGCTGTTTGTTTTCTCGACTACTGGAATGATATCATGCCTGATGGGATGAGGGAACGAAAAATGTAACGGTTAAGCTCTTCAGAAGCATCAGAAGACAGAAACTGACAAAAGTTGTGAAAGAGACTGTATGAATGGCAACGTCCGGGTTTTTGCAAACGCATAAGCTATTAAAAAGCCTGGTCTGTGTGGAAGAGGAAAATTAGTTAGATGTCTTCTGTAAACTAGTTTGTCTATCGTTTTTGACTTTTGCTAATCTTCAGTTCAGTGCCGTTCCCACCCCCGTCTATGTTTGTCAATGGTGTGTTTGGTAACAATCTGGAGTCAGTAAGCGATACCCCCTTTTTCAGTATTTTATTGACTTCTTGTTAACATTAGGTAGATGTTAGAAGTTCTTTCGGAAGAGTTGCACTTTAAAAATGTAAAGATCATTTATTGTTCAAATATTTTGGCGATAATAGTGTTCCGTTCGCTATAGTCTACGTTCAGACAGCAACTACACACACACATGAGAATAGAAGGGCTGAACCCACTTTTGAAAATTGTTTCGAATAAGGTACGTAAACACTGTTATCAGCTTCATAACTTGGCCTTAGCTATCACTTCTCCTGCAAACATTTTCGCGGCTTCAAGAGCGGTCCCCCAACCCAGTGTAAACCCGGAACCACCGTGTCCGTAATTGTGAATGACCTGCAAGTTTTAGTGTTTCTCTCTCTTTCTTCAATAATAAGAAGAAAATGCTATGAAGGAGATGAAAACGATACGAACAGTATACTCCTTCCCACTCTTCGTTGTTTTTGTCTGTTTCTCTAACCGAATGCCGCCCTTGCGAGCTGGCCTCAAATGACACCACACTTTTTGAATTTCAGCTTCTCGCATGGCTGGCTGTAATCGACAATATCGTTCCATAATCTCTTCGATTTCATCTTTCGTGGCCGTCATCGAAAAATTGCCTTGTTGTTTAACAGAACCCAAAGCCACTACGTTTTCTCTAAAAATAGAATGAAAAAAATGGACTCTGGATGATAACCAAATCTACTTAGGAATAGTGAACGTGTCGAAGTCGCGGTAGAGGAAGTGTTTGTGCCATGGAGCTTTAACCTGAATGATATATATGTTAAGAAGACGGATTCCTACTATTCAATTATATATATATTTTCACGGACTTCTAATACTATCCCTCGGATGGGGAACATGTTGTCGTCATCTCCAGCCAATTTTCCTGCCTGTAAGCCGGCACAATTTACAACCACATCATATTGTTCTCCCAGCTGTTATGAGACAAAAAAAATAAACATGGCAGACTTAGCGATCAAGGACCTCATCAAGATCTTCTACTTTCTTGTTGATGATCTGCACGTCCTTAAGCTGATCTCGTAGAAATGGAACATACTTCTGTCCTTCGGCTCCGAATGCGCTGAAGTGAACGCAGTATCTGTAACAATGACTTTCTTTAGATTCTCCGACGCAAATATACTTGGCAGGGTTCTCGAATTGGTCTTTAATCTCTTTGTCTGTCAACCATCGAAAGTTGTAAACCAGATCTTTGTTGGCAAGTTCCTTAAGTTCAATAGTAATTCCCTCTTTCCTCCGAGTAAACCTGCATTTCCAGGCTTTTCTTATCGTCTGACTGAATGTGGCCCGAGAGAAGCTTAACACCTGTTAAGGAACCTGGGAACTTTCGACACAGGCTCGAAAACCAGTGATGGGTTTCTTTAGCATACTTCCTGATAAGTGAGCAGTGAAAAAGAAAGGAACACTGAAACCATACCGATTCACCTCATGACCTATGTTATCTACACGGAATAATCCAGCAGGCCCGTAACTACAGGTACTTTCAAATGGATCAGCAGAGTAGATTGTTAGCTGAACAATCGATATGGATATTATAGAACAGAATCTACAACTAACTCTAGCTGATGGACTTAGCTTTTGGATAGCTAAGGCAGTAGACAAGCCAATAACTCCTTCACCCACTAAAGCTATTCTTGCCATTCTAAAGTGGAAAATGCTTCAGAACTTGGCAATGTTTCATATAGAGCATGAGGCTGTTGTTGGCGGGTGTACAATGAGAAAATCAAGAACTCATAGGTGTTAGAAATGTTTTTTCAAGTTAACCGTACAGAAGAGAAATCACAACGAGATTGAAAGGAGGAAAAGAAACTTCTATGAAAACAAAAACGGGAAAGGCTTAAACTTCTAGGAAACAGCCACTGTTGGTCGAGAAGTTTGGATTGCCCTGCATCCTCCTAACGACAATATTGACTAATAAAACAATTGTAACATAACTGATACATCATCATCTGTACACACTGGAGGCAACACCGGCATGAGTTAATGGATAGCGGGAAAGGGTGCGTGTAATATGGCGAGTAAAGTACACTAGACATAGAGAGGAGAGAGAGAGAGAGAGAAGGAGGGTACAGTAGTGAAGTAATTGGAAGCGGTGTAGATAGGCAACTGATCGAATTCAGAAATTGATCAAATTTGAAATGATAAGTCTTGTGTCATGAAATGATATTGCTATATACGTAGTATGTACAAATTGGTTAGACCACAACAGGCAATCGTCAGACATTATCATCTGGAAAGCGATTCGATTTTTTAGTAAAAATAGCAAGTGATAACTGACCGTGGAACCACCAGCGCGTTTTCGATGGGTTTTTATTACATGTCCTTATGTACAAGGCATTATCGGGTGGACGTTTCTGTTTTCCAACATCATTCTTGTTTTTGGGAAAAAATGAAACACTTACTTTTTCACGGGCAGAAGATAACATAGAGAGAATGGAAAGACAAACGGCAGACACTGATAGAGCAGGAGTCCAATCGTCGGATAAAATTGAAAGACAGATGTGACCATTTGAATAGATATGTGGATGTACGGGGATTTGTTCACCAATGAACATCACCTGAAGATGATAGTAAGAGTCACGTGTGATAGAAGGACAAACACCTCTGGAGAAGTAAAAGGATAGTTGTTATTGAATTTGAAACGAAGAGTAAAGTTTTCGCCTTCATACAGTGTTCCACGTGCTCCATTCACTCCAATAACCCATTCCCTGGAAGAAATAACGATTAAGGGGACACAAAGGGATGTGGTTACTTCATATCTTTCTGCAAGCAATCATCTCCAACGACGATGCCGGAAGGTGGCTCAGAAAGTAACTGTTGGTATTCCTTCAACAATCGACGGTTGGAAGCACTCATTCCCATCTTCTGTAAAATGACATGATAGAGAGAGTGAGTGTGTATTGTAAGAACCCACGTTGATCGGAAGGGGAGAGGGCCGGATGAATGTTGGAGACGAACTGTAATTTCCACTAATAGATCTGCAAACTCGTTGGTTGCATGTATCAAACAATGAGAAAAGAGAGGAGGTAATGGAAGGTTAGAAGAACCTTTCGGAAACGTCAACATTCAATGATGTTATTAATATTTAACCACAGATGATTATAAGAAACATGAGAAGAACATTACGATTAACCAAGAAGGTCCGAAATCACAATTACAAACACATACGAAATAAGATCACAAAATAGAAAAAATGGAAGAATTCACAACTTCTAGAAGAACTAACCCGGGCACAAGAGAGAGAGAGAGAGAGACAGAAAGAGAGAGAGAAAGCGAAGGGCAAGAATACCTCACTCTTAGGAGGAATCGAGGAATAGTTTGTCTATCCTTTGTCTACCCTTCAAGTTGGGTGTGGAAGGTTTGGCTGCAGTTCGCCTAATCAATTCCATCACCGAGTTATTGTGTTCTCCTTCTTCCATAGGATAATTCTGCAACGTATGTGATTGTTACAAACACATCGAGCAATATCATTCATTACCTTTTCTTTTTCTAAAACAGGCATTTCACAGTCATCGTCAGAGTCCAACGAGATACCCGATAATGGCGAAGGTCTCGGGACAGGCAGAAGCTTGACGTTTTTCATCGAAAGTTCTTCTTGTAATGCTTCTCGACCTGCCGTCAAATGTTTTCTAAAACAAAACCTGTATTCAGAAGGAGACTGTGTTGAACCAAACCTGAATCGAGTAATAGTTTTTTCTAATTCTTCAAGCTGTAGCTTTTGCATCAAACGGAGCGTATCACGAGCCTGAAATAGAATGAATGAAAACAAACTGGACAACGGTCAGAAGCAGGAGTTACCTGTAGTGGACGGTATTCGTTTATCAAATGATGCATATTAATGAATATGGTTTGAATATCATTCAGCTTCTCTATCCTCTCTGGATTGTCAGGAGAACGAATCAGTATTTCAATCAAATCTAAGAAAGCTGTTAAGGCACTACTGTAAAGGAGGTATGTAAGTAAAGGACATAGAGTTGGTAGTAACGAACGTGTTGAGCTTCTTCATCTCCGTCTTCCAGTCATATTTCAAGGGATACAGCTGTTTTATACCTTGAGAAGGCAGTGATCTTAAAGACTTTGTTTATACTCGTAGCTCGAGGAGAAAATCACCTGATTATCTCATCGTTTAATCTGTATTCTTCTCCGAAAACAGTAAAATCTGTCTGAACTGCAGGAGGCGGTAATGGAGGAGGATACGTAATTCCATTCACTCTATCACTCGTATAACATTGAGCATATTCTGGTGGAGGAGGAAAAGAACTCCCAGTCTGAGCCAAGTTTGATTGTTGTGGTGTTATCATGGTTCCTGAACAGCAGAACATTTACTTCGAGCTAGTTGCTAACATGACATGTAAAGAAGAATGATTTCAATTTCTTACAACTTCTCCATGTTCAGGAGAAGACATATCAACATTTTGCATTCCTAATATATATGTAATTACTTAATTTGGAGTATCTCATAACAAGAGCTTTGAACCACACCAACCAATTTTTTCATGCGGTCGCTGTGGGACCAATATAGTACATACTGGATGGTCTACTTTAGCATGTTATGTTCTTTAAGCTCTGTCACTTAATTTCTGCTAGTTTTTCGAAAATAGAAAGTGAGTTGAGAGTCTGAGAATCCAATGATAGATTTGTGTCGATAGACAAATGGATGATTCGAGCAAGTCAAGAATACTGATGTCGTATTGAGTTCATGGGTGTTCTTTGATTATTAATCTCTCTCTCTCTCTCTCTCTTTCTCTCTTTCTGTCTCCGAGTAAAATTCAAAAACTAAAGACATTAGCTCTGTTCTACTGAACATCACTGTTCATCTTCAAGAAAAAAAGGTTCGGGATGAAAGGAGAGCTGCTTTGGAGACGAAAACTTATTACAAACACGTCGGTCTCAGCTGAAGTTTTATTCTGATTTTATCTTCTCTTCAAATATTCCCTCTGGTTGACATTCAATGTGTAAAAAGAAACTTCTGAACAGGATGGATGTATACAGTAGAAAAAATAAACGCAGAGCTTTTTATTCACTCCCTCTTGTGTGGGTGATAAATCATCTTAGCTGAGCTTAAGCAGACTCAAGTTCCTAAAGAGGCTTGCTCAACAGAGTAGAACTCAGCTCTATGTCGTAAGGGATTATGATGATATATGCGATAACATGATAGAAGGTATTTGGGTTCTAGAAAGATCGAAACAAACGAAGTGTTTACGTAAGTATCATAAACGGGTTTGAGGTAGCAGATCAGGCGAAAAGGCTATGACGGAGTAGGAAAACGCAAAACTGGGATTATGAGATGCAGTTGAGCAAAGTTCTCGACGGAGGAAACGATTTGGTTTAAGATGAAAAAAATGCGGACGGGACTTGTTACTCTCAGTCCGTACATCCATATAGTTTACTAGTCTAAGGGTTTAGAGAAAAATGAGATGCACATTGGTCGTCTTGAATCTAGAAAAAGCAATGCTAAAGACACACCTCAGTATTGATACTACTACAACTTGAGTGTTTATGATTCGCGAGAAGCACGTGGTTTAATTTGTCATTCGTCAAAGTCAATGTTGAAAGGAGAAATGGATACCTGGAAGTTCGGAGAAAACTTAACCGAAAGTCTTGTAAGAAGCCAGAAGCTATAGAAACTGCATATAACCAGACTCTATAGCGTTTTGACGTAGACTCAAGAGCGGAATCTTCGACAACTTGGGTTAATAATAAACATATTAAGAAATAAAAGAGCTAATAAAGGATGTCTACGACTGCAAGAATCCGTGCAATGACATGAGCGGGAAATAAGCCTCATGTCTGGGGGAATACTTCATGTTGGTGATCAAAAGGGATTATGGACTCAAAGCTTCAAAGTTATAAAATGGATATTGGGGAGAAGGATAGTTTGAAACTCCTTACAACCACGCTCAATCAGACAAAATGCTGTGTTGACTAATTTTTTTGCGAAAGGATTAATGACCGTAATGACAATTCGAGTCAGTTACAAAAACTCACAAACTTGGGCTAATTATATATCAAATTGAAGAGAAAAAAATTCCAAACTCAGTTTCATTTATTCAAAACAGCTATTTTTGACAAGGCGCTTATTCAAAGTTAACTAAAATTAAAGCTACAACATTTTGGGTCTCGAACGGAAGTCGCGACGCTGTCGAATGTGTTTAGGTTTAGTCCACGCTACGTATTCCTTTTAAATAAATTTATCTCTTCAGGGGAACTTTCTGATGGCATTTAAATATTTGTAATTATTATTTTTGAGAAGGCAATCAATTTCAGAGTTTGAAGATTCAAATGTTAGAAGTGTGCTGATAGGCTTATGTGTGATTCTAGTCAATCATGAATACAGATGTCGTTAAAGCATTCAATGCAGAGGTTTGTTCTTACTCTTTTGTAATTTTGATTGAAACGGAATTTGAATGAATATTCCTTCAGCTCACTTCTATCTACGATCAGCGTCCACCTTTAAGCAAAAAAAAGATTCAAGATGTTAGCAGAGCTGCTTTGAAGGCCAAAATTTATTACAAACATGTCGTTTTTAGCGTCGAAAAATTTTTAGCAAAGGTTAGGTTATTGAGTACATATTCTTATAACGCCTCCACCATGTTTTCAGTGTAAAAATGAATATAAAATCCCTGTCTTGTATGTAGTAGACAGTATCATTCGTGCTTCCAAGCATCAGTTTAAGGAGAAGGATGTCTTCGGACCTCGGTTTTTGAAAAATTTTTCAAAAACCTTGAACGACTTCCTTCAATGTCCAGTTAATGAGCAGGTACTTTCACTTTCTTAATCTTCTTTGACGTTCTTGTTGTATAGTGTCGGGTGGTCCGAACTTTGAACCTTTGGAGTGCCAACGGCGTCTACGAAGAAGAAGTTATCGCCCCTTTCAAAGAACAATGCAAAAACTTGGGAATAGGTAGTTCATTTCTTCTTATTTTCAATCAGTCATTGATCATTAGAAACTGATATCGAGTTAGTGGAAAGAGCGGTCAAAGGAAAGAAAGCGGACATGACCATATATGGTGGTGCTTACATTAAAAAAGACAGATCTCACTCTAAATTTGAGGTTCGATTCATATCCTTAATGGTATTCAGAGCTCCGTTTCAGGCTAGAACACCGCCTCTCCCACCGTCTAATAGTGGTGATATAAGTAGTCAAACTCCTGTACCCGCAAAGGAAGAACCTTCAGATGAGATTCCTCAAGGTGCTAAAACTAACCTCTTCACTCATAACTTTTTCTGTTAAGGATGTATAAGTGAAAAAGAACTGCTGAACATAATGCGATCTGCTGGATGTGATTACGGTGGCTCGTTTAGTACAGACTTAGCTCTGCTGCGTAAAGCTCATTCAGTAAGTTCCATTCAATATGAAACTTACGAATAAACGAATATTACAGATATTTTGTGAGGCTTTGGTTCAAAGACAGAATGCTATCATCGCTGAACAGAAAGCAGGAAACATCAAGGTCAGTTTGTTTTTAGAAGAATGAACATTGACTTGTATTTTTAGAACCTCCTCTCATCTCAGTTCGACTACAGTGATGAAGAGGACTCTGGAGACGAAAGCAAAAAGAACGAAGCGAATGAGCCTAAACCTATGACTCACGATCAAGTCCTATTGTATGATTTCATATATACTATCGAACATAATATCAAATTCCAGAATGGCTGACAATTTAGTCAAGGATCCTACTGTTATGGATGCTTTCAAGACATTGCATCAAGAACGGGTGATGGTCTTGAATCAGGTTTGGGTGAAAATATGACTGACACTCATCTTCTATTTAAGGTGCTCATTGCTCAACAACGAGAGAAGTTGATGAGTGATCTTCAGCAACAACAACAACAGCAACAACAACAACAACAACAAGTTCAACATATGCAACATCAACAGCAGCAACAGGCTAACGCTCCCCCTGTTGGCATACCGATAGGAGTGCCTCCACCAAACTTAGCTCAACTCAATGCTGGGATAGCTTCTGGTTTGGCTGGAGGAGGCTTGCCTGGTTTGCCTCCTGGGTTCCCGTTGGCTCAAGGACTTGTAATAATCCGCCTATTTTTTCCATGTTATTGACTACAGTTGCAGGGTAACATCAACTTAGCAAGTCTTGGTCAGCTCACAGGATTTGCCGGATTACAACCTATGGTACCTAATAATGGAAATAACGCTCAAAATATTTTAGGAATGCTCAATCCATTGGTAAGAATGCTAATGCGGATTACATAATCAAAATGTTTTCAGAATATGATGTCACAACCAGGTTTAGCTAGAAATCAACCCCTTTCTCAGAACATTGAGGAGATGTTAGCGCAGCAGGTATTATTTCCAATCTGACAGTCTTCGTCATTATTTCATTTCAGCAAATTAAAATAAATAATTCACTTAACCCTCAGAATGCCAATACCCTAGGTGGCTTTTTAGGAACGATGCAAAATCCTCATCTGAACCAAGACGACTTGGATCCGAGACGGGATTATGATGATGTGAGTGATAGAATAACTTATCGCAATCATGGTATTTTTTTTTCAGAAAGACGGACATCGGAGAAAACGAAGCCGTTCTTCCGAACGAGACGATCATAAACGCAGTAGAGGCAGCAGATCAAAAGATAAAGATAGGACAGATCGTGAACGGAGGAAACTGGGACTAATGGCACCAGTAGAAGGAATAGCTTTGAGTGAGTCCTAATCACTAGTGGTGGCTTCAGTGATTGGTTTAGTTGCGTCGAAGACTTTGTGGTTTGGTCGATTACCATCGATGATAACGGACAATGAAGTGAAGATGGCCTTACGGCCATTTGGAGAAGTTGACAGAATAACTATCATTTCTTCAAAAGCCTGTGCCTATGTCACCATGGACTCTCGTAAAAGTGCATATGAAGTTGTTCATAAACTGGGACGTGACATGAAAATAAATGGAAAGCACATAAAGGTTGTTTCAATTTAACTGTTAATACTCATTCTGCTACTCTAGGTGGGATGGGCACAAGGAAATGGAGTCAAAGGCGAGCCTTACTCAAAGTTTTGGAATTCCGAAAAAGGAATCACTTCCATCCCCTGGAATGAATTACCTACTGATCTCGAAAAGCTCTGTGAAGGAGCTTACTTAGATGTAGAAAGCTTACCAATCCACAAAAAAGGTATCCTTTGTAATCAGTTATTTTATCGAAGAAGTTTCTTCAGGAATTTATAACGAAGCAGGTTGTGTGAATGTAATGGTACCATCCGCTTCTGATCCCAGTGGAATGGAATTATCTAGTCCTCAAGCCAGTCCACCAGTGATGGTGGGCGCCCCCTTTGATCCTATTTCTCCCTTGAAACCTCACGACTTCCCACCATTTGGTAAGTTTATACATATGTTCTCATTCTTACATGTTGTCTATCAGGTGTCCCCCCTCCCTTGCTCAACGCGTTACCCGGAGCCGCTGGTGTTCTGCCACAGGGTCTTCAGAATCAACTACAATTTCCTATGCGGATTCCTGGAATGCCAAGACCACCAATGCATGACCAGGTTCGTGTGAAAGCAAATATTGTGATGATGTTAATTTCCAGCAGCTAATCTCTCCGAATGTATCTCTACCTCCTCCAAATACTGCTCCAGTGCCTTTTGCTGCTCCTCCACCGAGTGGTCCAATGTTTTCTCCTACTAGAGGCTCTTTTAGAGGTATAAATATCAGTCGATCGAGTGTATAATATAGTTCTTCCAGGTGGCCGAGGTAGGGGCTATATGATGGGCCCAGGTCCTAGTCGTGGTGGGAACACTGGTAGAGGTGGATTCCCTCCTGTGCCTGTTAATGACTTACCTCCTTCTGATAATGAGTGGAACAATGACCGGAACAGCGACCGCAACAATGACCGCAACAATGACCGCAACAATGACCGTAACAATGACCGTAACAAAGATCGTAAGAGCCGCTGGGCACGAGACGAGAGACCATCAGTTCGTTTTGTCAATTTGAGATGAGTTCCTATTTTTCTTTAGAGATGGGATTCTAGTAGAGTACACGCATTTAATGACTCGAAGGAACGCCGGCAAAGTCGTAAATCATCCTAACTTTATATAAAAGCAGCATTTCACATTGATGTCAGCAGAGCTACTACAGAGACGTCTACTTCAGCTCTTCATTACCATGTTTATATTTCGTCAGTTAGTGTCAACCGTAACAGACATGAATCGATCTCTTTGAGATATGAAATTTGAGATAAAACAAAATTTCAAGATATCTTGGTAGAAACATCGGGAAAACCTAGCAAACTATTCTTGAGTTTGTAATCTCAGCTTACCCCTTAGATGGTGCTGCGATAGACGATTGTAATAGATCTTCTTCGCTCAACTTATCTTGTCGCATTGAGAATACTATGATGATCCAACCTTACTCTCATTTGTTCTTTCACTGACGTAGTGTCTGCGATCGTTGAGATCTCATATGTTGTCAATGTAACTACAGCATCATCTACTGTCACCGTTAATGGTATATTGTCTGAAGTGTAATCTTTGAGAGAACCGAATGAAATTGAGAGTTACTTTTTGTTTTTCTAGTAATATAGGGCTGATCTTCGCTTCTATCCCACGACATCCTCTACCCCATGATTATGCTTGGTAGACTGCAATAAGTTGAACGTGATTAGAGTTCATAATGTTTTGATCCATGCTCTTCTCTACAGCTTCGTTCTGGTCTTCCAATGTGATCCCTCTATCTCTTTTTCATGATCCCGATTGTAAGCCCCTCCTAGTTTGTCCTGGCATCTCTATAGTCTTTAAATAAGCCGTCATATAATTATGCCCAGGGAACCTACTTGTCTCTGTACTCGTTTCTGTCTGTACGATTTTCCCTATCATTATTCTCGTACCTGGCGTCATCTACTACTCTAAGAGTACACCTATTCAGTGGCTCGAAGGAAAAACGTCATACTAGTTACCCCGTATCTGTAGGCCTCGCCATTTCTGACCCCAGGCCCCTTCCCTTAGGCATGCACCTGACCTAATTAATTCGAACGGGTACTTCAATTAGTTTTAATAGACTAATTTTAATAAACTCAATTTAATGAACATATTTGATAAACTTATTTTAAACATAATAAAGATAGTTTCAAAAAGTTTGAACAAGTCGAATTACCCGCTGGAATCGACTGAGTCTTTAGTCTGAGATTCATACCCCGAAGCTTGACCCTGAGTGTGATAAAGAGTTTGACCTTTAGAATGATAGAGAAATTGACCCGGATAATGATATAGAGATTCACCCTGAAGTAGGTTCACCCGTATAAATCACCGAGAGGTCTGGCAGCCAGACAATGAGATGATTCAATAGACGCCTCTGAAGTAACTCTTTACCATCAATGTGAACTGTCGCTTTCATATATGAAGTTCACATGGAGCTCCGATCAATATTCTTTGCTTCCTCATTTTATATACAAATTACTTTATTACGATAATTGAGCAGGTTGTTTTTACAATTTTAATAACACTAAATACAAATGCAGTCGTGGCCTTATACTTAAGTAGGATTTGAAAGAGACGAGCTTACAGCTCTTATCAATCATTCACTCACTGTAACTCTAGGAATAGATTTACGGTAGTATTCAATGTTTAGAAAGTTAGGCGACGACTGTATGTAATCGTTTTGAAACTGATTGTCAGCCGGGTTTCACAAATCCACCCAACGTTATGATCTTACACACACATATGTTGTTTCATTTTGTTTCCAAATTGTTTTCCATATTGTTAATTAAGATAATCAGTGCACTTGTGATCTCTACCCCGATCTAGTGCAGATGTACAGACTACCTTGATTTTAATAAATAACAGTTTATTTAAATCTCAACCCCCGTTATCTCCCTCCCTCCCTCTCTCTCTCTCTCCCTCTGCTCATACTCTGTTCCTTTATTCTCGTCTTGTTATGTTTAGTTTTATTATTTTTATTTGATTAATAACAAGAAACAAATAGTCATACATATGCACATATAGTAACCGTTTGAAGCAAGAAGATGAAGTAAGTACTTGAATTTGATATTCATCGAAGGGGGTAGGGTGGCAATTGGAGTGATGAGTGCTGTTTCTGTGATCGTAACAGTCTTGATGAGAACCCGATTAGTAAGATTGAGCTGCTTTCTTAATATATTTCGTTAGTTTCTGTTGAAGTTCTGCATTGATGTGGAACGATGACCGAATTCGGGAACGTTTTTCAAGCAGTAACATTCGAGTAGGCGGACGGCTGTTGGCTTGAGCTGTTTTTTCATTTGAGGACTGGAAATATGAAATTTGAGGTGGAAGCATATGATTATTACGGAACCTCCAGAAAATATACATGTAGAAGAGGACAGCATGATGTAGATAGTACATCAGGAATGTCAGGTAGTGGAAGAAATGGAAGAAATGTGAATCGAAGCTGAGCGAGTATTGAACTATTCGCATTATGTAGTTTGGCACATTCAACAAGACAAATGTACTGAAAAACGAAGTTAAAAATATTTTCCTGAAACCTTAAAAGCTTTTTTCTCCTTCCTCGTTATTCTTAAGGCATAGTCTCTTCCTAGGTCAAGTCCAACACCCTGTTATTGGAGGACATTAACTCTGAAGCAGGCCAACGCTCGTTCGCTCGCTCGTTTACACTCAACACAAACACACGCATACGCGATACGGCGCACAACAAAGACGCTTTCTACGAACATAGAGATGTCCATTATATATATAAGTTTAGGGTCTTTATAAGACCCCTAAAACAATTTTTGTACGCCGCCTTAATTCTTTTTATGGCGGTGAATTAGATTAGTGTATCAGTACTTCTTTTAACGTACTCTTATTGTTCCATGTAGGAAATCCCGTCCTATCACGAAAACGGTAATTAGAATATAACGGCTGCGTGTATTTATAGCGTCCGAGTTGTTTTTCATTTTGAGAAGAAGCAGGCATTAGAATGGTTGTGTTCAAAATAGCTTTCTATCTTTAATTGATTTAAACTTTTCTTATTTTCTAGAAGAAAAAAAAAGAAGAGAAATGAAGTGAAGAGAGCAGGAATCAATTTGATGAAATCTCAGAATTGTATATCAGAGGAAACGACTTCTCAACCCATCTGACCCCTTGCTTTGCAACTCGAACGCTATTTTTCATTTCACTCTTCTCAAAGGTTAGTGCTGTTCTTTTTGTAATGGGTTGGTTGTGATTGAAACGTTGTTTGTACCTTGTAACAATGAGAAGTGTTCGACTCAATTGTAAATCGGATGAGCGCAATTTTCCACAGTTATTGAAACTTCTTTGCGACTGAGCTGTCGGCGTGTTTGTTTGTGATTGACTAAGAAGAAGTTTTTTAGCTGTTTCCTCCTCCTGCAATAACCATTCGGATTAATTGGTTGAAACAAAACACGGAACGAATGAGATGTGAGATCAATCAAAGTGAATTAACGAGTCAAGTAGTTAACAAGAATGTGTGTGTGTGTGTGGAGTCAATGGATGGGATAGAAACTCACATAACGCATGTTTTCATCACTGGATGGTCCACGGAAGAAGCGGACACGAAGAACTCCTGATGAGTAGATCTTCATACATTGACGATATCGCCAGATGGAAAATGAGTTGACGACGATGATTATGATAGAAGGCAATGCCGTACAGACAATAGTATCGAATATGGTGAACACCACATAATGCTTATGTACAGGATAGCTGAAATGATTACAGTAGTAGCTGGCGATCAACGACAGACTGTTGTTTACCCGAAGACAGTAACGTTGTTGCTCAAACCACAGAACACCTGATCAGTATTAGCTTGTACACGCTCTAATCCCGCGAATAGGAAAACCCATGAGTAGAGCATTGTGGAAGTAAAAATTGTTCCGATTGTGAGGCGACGAGCGAATTTGCGATTACACACATGCCTACGTATTCCTAGAAAGCGAAAAATATTATTTTAAATATTTAATTTGACTTCTTTTCTGTTCTCATCGTTCTCGCCAATTTGTTATTCGAAAATTCTTTTTTTCCCCTCTCTCTCTCCTATCTCTGTGTGTGATGGCTTGCAGATTATTTCTTTTTTACCTGGACGATATAGAACAACCATTCGATCACATGATATCCATGAAATCATCCAAACACATATGAAATCGGAGAAATGTGCCAGAAACGTGAAAAATTTGCAACCAATTTCAGTCTCTCGATACAATGGTAGATGATAGATGGCATCTGCCCAGGTTACCAGCACCTACAATATGAAAACATGTAGATGTTGTGCGTGATGTAGAAATTGAATACCATGGTTAAGAATAAACAGCTGCAGATAGATAGAGTACATAAATAAACGTTGGACGTTAGTCGACGAAGCCAAAAGTTCGTTCTGAAATGAGCCAATGTTATATGACCTTTAAAGGTTTCATCTGATATATGCTGCTCTCTGTTCATAGATCAATCAATATCTATACTTTGTGTTATGATTGCAAAGTAAGCCAAATGAATGATGATGATGATGATGATGAACATAATGATTTTGATAGTCTCAACCCAAAACCATTTCGTTCAATAAGCCATCTTCGTCCAATAATTATATTTTTGAAAATAATTTTTAAAATTTGAGCGGAAAAAGGAAATTTGTATTGCAAATGTCAATTATAATTGAAAGATGATCGAAATTGCCAAATGAGAAGAAACACATTTCACTCCCTCATCATCTCTCTCTCTCTCTACGTGTGTCTCTCTCTCTCTCTCTCTGTGAGCAGCTTTACTCTTTCCAAGCTTTTTTCCTTTTTTTAGACTTTAATGAGCGATATGTTTGTGCTAAATGGGAAAATGAGACTGGAGGAATCTTTTTATATAATTCTGAAGGTAATTATGCGACAAATATAGATTCACTCCTGCAATCTACTTCTGCATATGACGTCATTGTCATCTATAGCACACACAGAGAGATAGTGAGTGAGATGAAGATGAATGACAAAAACGACGTAAAAAGTTATTAATTAGAATGATTAGGAAGATGATAGAAATAGCAAAATGAACTAACCGGATGAGAATGAGAGCCATTGAGTTGCCAATTATTCCAATTAAACAGAAAAATGGCAATAAATGAGTTGAATTGACACGCATCCATATGATCGCCTCAGATTTTTCTATTTTCTCAAAAACCTAAAAGAAGATGTGATAGAGAGAGAGAGAGAGAATGATTGTCTTACTGAATAGACTGTCAAGAAGTCAGTCGAATCATCTGATTCGTCCATCCTCTCTTCACGTGTTCTTTGAATTCAGCAAACCAGAGACTTCAAAGAAAATCTGAAAATTGGTTTGAGTACAAAACAAAGTCTCAAAGTGCGAAGGAAGTAAATCAATTGATGAATGACAAAAAAAGATAAAAAAAGAAAATTCTCTTTCTCTCAATCTTTTTCTCTCTCTCTCTTCCATACTCTCACTCTCTCTCTCCCTTTCTTCCAAGCTTCTTCTTCTTCTTCTACTTCTTCACGCCTTCTCCTTTTATCTTTCTATCTCCGAATGATCAGAGATGATTACGGAACGGAGCCGGCCAAAGACGGACAACGAAGAAGCATTAGAAGTTTCATGAACCGATCATTCTCAGTGTCAATCTCTTCTTCTTCTTCCTTCTTTTTCTCACTTACGACTCACATGAAAGAGAAGACGCAAACTTAGATAATTAGTGCCAATTTGGACTAAGAAAAGGAATTTCGTGAATTTTTATACCAAATAAGGCTTTAACTAAATCATGTCAGAGAGTTGAGTAGTGGTTGTGGAGAGGGGAGGGGGGGAGGCAAAGGAACAGGGTGGTAGCGAATGCAGGTTGCTACTGAAAGAGAAAGAGAGGGAGAGTAAGAGAGAGAGAACAGAAGTACAGAGAAAACAAGGAGAGAGAGAGAGAGAATGAAAAAAATTATTTTTTATGACTTTTTACCATATTATAGTTAATTTTGAGTTTAATATGGGATATATGATATGATTATGGATGAAGGAAGAGAAGGGGGAGCAGGGTAGGCAATGAAGCTAAGCACTTGAGGCTATGTGACTTACGTCAACACATGAGCAAGAGGTTCATTGCATGTTGTATGTGTATGTATGTGTGTGTGTCTTTAATATACAAAATAAAAGAATAAAAGTTTTGTTAAAGGTTTCTCTATCTATCCTTCCTCCCAATTTGAGTGAATTTGGTTTGAATGACATGAAGCACAAGACGAACATGGACAGAAAAGGAGAGAAAAAAAGACGTTGATGACCCAAAAATTGCTTCATCTTCAGTAATCATCTGAGTCGATCATTCCATTTTAGGAGCACTATTTTGGCCTTCGATGTTTGGGCTGCTGCTGGTGCTGCTGGTGCTGATGCTTTTCCTTTTTAAGTATAATTCGTGCCGTAGAAAGGTTAAAAGAGATAGAAAGATTGAGTGCCACCCAGAGAGAGAATGACAGAGAGGGAGAGAGAGAGAGAGAGTGAGCGAGATGGAAGCTAGAGACCAGGCGATAAGCTTAGATGGAAATAGGTGCAACAAAGATTTTATTTTCTTTTTCCATTTATGGGCTTTTTAGGAAAAACTCTTTTCTCACTTCGTAATAAAGAGATTATCGTCCAAAGTTTAGTACGTGAAATGACGCGGAACGACATGTTTCATAAAATGGACTTTGTGAGGCTGTGTGTGTGTGTGTGTGTCTGTGTGAATGATAACGATGACGTCGATATAAAAGAGATCCCCCATCTCTCTCTCTCTCTCTAACTCTCTCTTCACTAGACATCTCACTCTCTCTCTCTCTCTCTCTATAGAATCTTCCTCATTCCCTCTCTTCTTGCTTTCTTCTGCTTTTTTTTTGTTTCTCGTTCGATATTTAAGCAGAACTGAATAGATGAAGTAACAGGAAATTATTTGTTGCAGAATACTTTAGGCCTTGAGGGCATCTTTATGCTTTGGCTAACAGATTAAGCTGAATGGAAGAGAAGAGAGCGGATATGTGTGAGACTGAACCGTTTACATGAGGCCAATTGAATAGCCTGTTCGATTGTTCGATCATTTTTTAAAAAAATTTTGTCATTCAATGAATGAATGAGAGAGAGAGGGAGGGAGTGATTGAGAGCTGGATAGAGAGTATAAGAGAGAGAGTATATGAGAGTATGAGAGAGTAAGAGAGATAATAAACAAAATGATTAAAAGCTTGAAAAATGAATGAAGAAGTTCATGAAGGAATGTCAGTAACAACAATATGAATGAGCAGTTTTCAGCTTGTTTATCTTGGTGAGATGACCTCTATGGTTAGAGCGCGAAGAGGAATTGTCGAAGTCATCTCTCCACCAATCCCCCTGAGGCATTTTATTTTTTGTCAGATTTTTCTATCCAATATAAAGGATAAAAACAGAAAGTGTAAGAAGATGATTTCAAGAGTGTGTTGATTAAGCGATTCGTTCCATTTTTCCAAATGAAATGATTGCTGTTGAAAGAAGAAGCTGAACAAGAAGGAGAAGAAGCTGAACAAGAGGAAAAGCTGAATGAAATGGTGTGTGTGTGTGTGTATGTATGTTGAGCTTGGATATATGAAGAGAAACTATGTGTGAATGATGGTAAACGAGAAAGTTATGAGTTGCGCTGAGTGACAACACAGCAATATGATGAAGATATAAGCTGTAGCAGAAAATATAGTTGAATAAGATGATACAGAAGCTTTTCCTCGTTACTCATTCTCCACGCCTCTCAGTCATTCTCCTCCTCTTTTTTCTTTTCAATCGCTTAGTCGCCAGCATAAGCTTTCTGCACGTGCTCCCTGTACATCATGCTTCATCTCATCATCATTCCTGTTGCTTCATATATATGTATAAGGAAGCAGTAGTTCAGAAGAAGAACAAAGAGAAGCAGGAGGAGTGAGAGACAGAGCTTGCTGAGCTTCAAAAACTTTTACTGAAAGTCATGTCTTTGTGCATTTGTGAGACAAAAAATTTAAAAAAAAGAGATGAAAATGAATCACGTTTATAGAGAGAGAGAGAGAGGGAGAGGTAGAGGGAGATAGAGAGGGAGGAAGATGAAGAGTGAAAGAGACGCATGCTTACCAACAGAGGTTGATAGTGATCATACTGATTAGGGAGAGAGTGTAGATGAAGAGTAAAGCAGCTGCTAACTGATGAGGATGAGATTTATAAGAAAGAGAGAAAAAAAAACTTTTTTCTTCTTCTTCTTCAACATCGTCAATGAGTTCAGATGGCTCAAAGTTATTTTGGACGTCACAGCAACATAGTCAATTAGAGAAGAGAAACAAAGGAATTTTTGTTTATGAGAAACGTTTATAAGCCAAATAAGGATAAAAAAATGGAGGCTTTGTTTAAGTTTTGTTCGGCCTCGTATCAATGATGAGATTGCTAGCTGCTGCTAACTACTGTCTCCATTCTCTCATTCTCTTTCTCTTTCTCTCTCTCTCTTGGCCACTTCAACTCATTATGAACTCTTTGCTCTCCATCTCTAGCACACTCCTCTAATTGTTGAAGATATACATGAATCTCTTCTAATCAGACTCTATGATTGTCGTCATCTAACATGTTTTAACCTTTGCCTGATGATGATATGATGTCTACTCTCTGCTACCACTCCTCTCCTCCCCCCACCCCTCTCCTTCTACCCTTCCAGCACCATCTTCTTCCAATTTTTATTTTTCAACAATGAAAGTACTTTCATATTTCTATTTTTTATAATTCGAAAGTGTGAGATTGGAAGAGTAGGAGGAGAGAAAGGGTAGAATAGAAGAGAATGGAAACATGAAGAACGAACAGAGGGAATAGAGAGAGGAGAGATGAAGCGAGGGAGGGGAGTACTCTCCTAGATGTTTGTCTTTTCAATATTAAAAAATGTTTTCAGAACTGTTTTGCAGTGAAAATGTTAAAAGAAATCTTCCAAAAATTTTTATTCAAAAAGCTTTGAACATAGAGAGAGAGAGAGGGAGGCACAGAGGATGAGATAGAGAGAGAGAGAAGGAGGGAAATGCTTAGATTGTTAAGAAGACGAGAAAGAGAGAGGGAGACTGTTTTGATGACAAATCGGATAGAGATAGTTAGAGCTACTAAAGGAATGCTTTGAACAGAGGGAGAGAGAGAGAGAGAGAGAGAGAGAGAGAGAGAAGGAGAGGAAGAACTATTTGAAAATTCATGACCTCTATAGTTAAGATTAAAGACATTACTATTACAGGAAGTGCTTTTATAGGCATAGTTAGCATAATTAACACAAAGTCAAGCTGTCTCCTATACGTCATTTGCATACGATAATTGGAGGAGTGAAGCCGGAGCAACAAATAAGACAAAAAAGGAGCGGAACATCAAGATCATATGAGAAGTGATGAAGACGAACACATCTTAGTCGTTGAGAAGAAGATGATTAGAACATTGCCGTCAAAATGTGTTTCATCGTTACAGCTATTTGACTATCCAAACGAACTTTGAGCTATTATGAGCTTTCTCGGAGAGAAGTTTGATTGAAGTTTAAAGACAGAATGATTTGTTATGTTGACTATAAGGACGTCTATGGAAACATTTTCATTTCATTCATCCTCTTCACTCGCTTCATTCTCTCTCTCTCTCTCACACTCTCTCTCTTCATACACATCTCTTCATTATGCTAATTTTTTTCTTCCATCATTTTTTTTTCTCTCTCGTCTCACGTAAACTTCACGTGAACGACGTGAACGACCATGAAGCGGTCGTCATTTATGCATATGCGGACATGTGGAACGGTTGTAAATCTTAAAAGGTTTTTTGTCAGAATTTTTGTGTCTCTCAGATTGTGTATGTCTCATTCACAAAGATGTTTGTCACTCACATTCATTCAAATAGAATTACAACGCTTTTTGTTTCGCAAAAATGAAAAGGAAAAGCTTATCAGCTGATTATCAATGGAGAGAACTCAAAATGATGAAAAATAGATGATTTAAGAGAAAAAGCTGAAAAAGAGCTGAAAAGATTGTTAAGCAATTACATTGAATCCTCCAACTTTCAACATCGATCTGTGTATGTCTCTCTCTCTCTCTCTATCTATCTCTCTCTCTCTATCTCTCTGTGTATGTTCAGATAATGATATAAACAAAAATCAATACAGGAAGGCTTTAAGGAAAAGCTGAGAATTGTAAAACACCGAAGACACGAAGCCAAAATAATAGAAATGTTATCCCATAAAAGGCATATGTAATTGGTTTTAATATGCTAGCAGATAGTTTCAGTTGTATGCTGGATGAGATGTGCAAGACAGGAGAGAAGGGGAGGGGGGGAGGAGAAGGATGGTGATGCACATCTACTTCGTCTTCTTCTGAAAACTTATCTGCGACGACGTTGCTACTAGCTAAGGAAAGATGAAGAATGCCCTAAGGGTATTCCGGAAATTTCGATGAAACATGGGACGAGCTTTTCATCATTTTTTCTTCCAATAAAGCATTTTCATATTTTAACTATCTGAAAGAACCGCATCCCTTCAACTCTCCTTCTCTCTCTCTCTATGTGTCTTCCTCTATCCACGATATCCTCTTGTTCATCTGAGAATGAGATGAAGACGATGACAATCTTTGGAGAAGTAAAGAAACTACGAGAATAAGGGGAGGAGTAAAGACAGAAAAGGCTAAGATGCTGAAGAAGCTTAAAAGAGGTTTGAACCTTCATCTTACTAGTCTTCAGATCTTTTCTGGTACATCACATGAGTTGGTGGCACATTTGAATAAATTGAGTATTGTGACTGCCAGTGACGACAATATAAACTTGGAATTTATAAAATAAAAATAAAAAAAGATTAATAAATAAAGAAAATAATTGTTGTTTAGAGGTTGAACCCGGAGAGAGTGAGGGAGTGAGAGAGAGTAGACAGTGAAATAGAGATAGAGAGAGAATGAACTAAGGAAGGAGCTAAAGAAGGAAGCAATGGAGGGATTGAGTAAATGCAATGACAAAGACAATATGAACGATGTTGGCTTCCCATTTTGGCTTTTTCTTTTTCTTTTTCAGGTTTGAGTGGCAAACACCGGAACATGCTGCTTAATAACCTTTTCTGTTTGAGAACTTCCTGTTGTTTTTTTTTGTTTTCAAAAGTTCAAAATCACGAATATGGGAGTATCGAGATGGAGACAGAGAGAGAGAGAGAGAGAGGGAGGGAGAGTAGTGAGATGGAGTTATAGATGGTTTCGAACTTTTCCTTTTTGAAAATATTATATTTGAAGTACATGGGATGCCTTCAGATGACATCTCTCACTACAACCCCAACCCACCCCTCTCTCTGATGTTGACGTCACAGATAGTGGTATTGCAGAATGGAAAAGAAAGTTTTCACGTCTTCAGCTTACATCTTCAACATGAGCGCTTTTTGTAAAAAAATATTAGAAAGTTACGAGGGTGCTGTAACTATTGGCATAAGAACAATGAGAGACAAGAGAGATAGAGAGAGAGAGACTTCTTTCAACATTACTCTTAAGTAATTGACTTCCAAAAGGAAGACGAGGAACATGAACAAGCAAAACAAAATGGAAAAAAATGAATAAGAAACCCGGACAGGTTCATTGTCAAGCCTCTTCTCGGATATCTTTGACGATTTTGAAAGCTCCCTTCAGCCAACCCCCAAATCTCCTTCTCTCTCTTTCTCTGCTTCTCTAATCATCTCTCGATAAGCCATTTTCCCTTCAATGTCAATCCCTCTCTTACCATCTATGTATGCCCTCTTTCTCTTTTAACCCATTCTTCTCTCTCTCTCTCTGTATTTCTCTCTCTCTCTCTATCGGCGTAGCTGTCATCATCAACGAACATCTGGAGGCCAAATTGAGGATATTCTTATTCAATTTTTTTCATCCTGAAAGATAATTTTGTTCATTTTTCTGATGGCAGCAGTGAAAAAAAAACATTTCTTATTGAATAAATTATAAAAAGTAGTTTCCTTGACTATACGAACATGAAGGAAGAGCCTAAGATTCACTTAGAGAATTCTATGAGAGACAAGTTAGACGACGACGACGATGACGACGATGACGATGACAAGAAGTATGTACAACCAGGATGGAACAAGACGAGAAGAACAGCTATGGTTAGCTAACTAAGTGACGGCATAGCAGCGCAACAGAAGCAGCAGCAGCCAACAGCCTAAGCATCAATTCCAATTTTCCAACAAAACTGTCATAAATATGATTTTTGAAGCTTTTTCTCCTTTTTTTTTTTCATTAATTTTTTTTTGTTAAGAAAAACACATTTTTATATATTTTCTTCTTTAACATTTTTCACTGGAAAAGGATGTTTGTGAAAGAGCTTGTTTGCTCTCTCTCTCTCTCTCAAGCTTTTCCTAGTCGAACAACAAAATAAGTTTTTTCCCTTTCCATTGTGATTTATCACAAATTAGAGAGAGAGGGCTATAAAGAGAGAGAGAAAGATAAAAAGATAGAGAGAGAGAGAGAGAAATTGAATGTGGGGGAGGAAAGTGAAATTTGCATACTATGACTCTTCTTATATGGGATGATGGAGAGGTAGCTATTGAAAATATATTTTTTTGCCCGCTTCCTTTATTTCCATTCAAATGCTTCTTGACTTCTCCTATGTTCACGATTCATTTCACAGGTGACGAAGATGCTTTGTAGGAGATGGCTGATCGCTTCGGAAATCAAAAATCTTCCATTTCTCATGGTTGCACCAGGGTTACGTGGGATTTCCTTTCACTCTTTCTCACTTCCTTTTGCGTGTACTCTCCATCTCCCTCTCTCCCTCTCTCGTATACACCTGAAGACTCATCGAAGGTTTTCTTAAGCGGAGTTCCAGGCCATATATGCTGTTTATAAGATGGAATGACGAAAAATTATGTTTGGATGACCTTTATGGACTTATTTGCTCTCCTCAGGGCATTCTCATTGCTGATGAAGCATCTGTTTATTATAACTCCCCCTCTCTCTCTATCTCTCAATCTTACTTACTCTCTGCAAATGTGATAATGAACGAATGTAGAAGGTTTTTTTTATTTCTTCATTCTTCACGCCTCAACAAGACTCGAATAACATCCTCTCCATTGTGTGAGTGGCTCGAATGCGAAGTTTAGGTTTAACAAGTTGTCGCGGATGCCCTGAGGACAACTCGAACTTTCACGTGGAGAACGTCATTAATCAGATCAAGCTTTATTTGATTTGAAATTTACATCGGAAGTGAGAGAAACCCTTCTAATAGGCTGAAGAGAGAAATGGGGTAAAGGAGGCAATGAGATGGAGATAGAGAGAGAGAGAAGCAACTCATGAAAGTCGTCATGGACGATATGCGAATAAGCCAGACGTTGGAAACATACAGGAGAAGGAAAAGCAAAACAAAAATAAATAATAATTAATAATTGATATTAGAATAATTAATGATAAACTATATATTTATATAGTTAGCTGTGAGAGGAAGGGAGAAGCTGCAATATATATTTCCCTTTCATTCGCTCTGCCACGACAACAGCTTGAATGTCAACTCTTCCATTTTATTTTTCTCTTCTGATGACCTCAGGCGATCATCTTCCGCTTTTTTTAGACTTTTCTCTTCTTTTTTTTTCATTTCAGCTCTCTCTCTCTCATACTTTACTCCCTCTCTCACACACATACACTTTGTCACCCTCTCGCTCTTCTTCACTTCATCGTCTTCTTGATCAACCGGCGAATGACCAAAAAACATGGGAAGAAGAACGATCCTTATCGCCTTATTAATATTTTTATTTTCAAATAGTTTCTTTCAAAAATAAAATTTGCATAAAAATACTTCATTTGCATAGTATTTAGGCGATGCTAATAGACCACCCGTCGTACCTTCTTGGAGGCTGGCAACAAACAGAAATTCCTTATCTGTCCACACGCACTTGAGATACGACGCAACTTCGATGGCGACGAAAATTTTGCCAATCTAAGTTATGATTCCCCTTCGGGGGCTCTCCCTTATTAATACTCACTAGTTGAGTTGTGATTTTTGGAATGTCTATTCGGGGTATCTGAGTGGACGCTAAGAACATTTAACAAGTTGCAAAACTTTCATGTTGACAGAGGATTGTTGCATGATCTCTTATGCATCTTTCTCACTACAGTCACAAAGAATCTTTTGAACTCTGAAACTTCTAAGGATTCTTTATTGTCCAGAATAACGAAGTCAAATAAATTGTCATTATCTTTGCAACTTTCAAGATACGTCTTAAACATGCCAATAATGTGTCCTCGGTAGTATAGTGGTGAGTATCCGCGTCTGTCACATGCGAGACCCGGGTTCAATTCCCGGCCGGGGAGAATCTTTTGCGTTCGAAGGCTTGATTAAAAAATAAAATTATTTTTATAATAAAAATATTAATCTTTATTTGCTAGTACTTCTATGTTTCTTTACAGCTTGGATTGCAAAAGCGGAGGAAGTAGTCAGTGCTGTGTACGGATTTCGGGATGGCCTGCACCAGAAGACGGATATCCAGGACGATGATTACGAGCTTCTTTCAGATGTTGGCATCTTAATTCATTGTAAATAAAGTCATAAATAAAAGCTGTTGTTTGTTTGTTGGGGAATAGACGGAATAGATGGAATTATGCTAATTTGAGCTTCTTTAATCATTTTGGCTTTCGCAAGGCATGCGCGTGGCATGCTAATTTCATTTTGGCGCCATTTCAATTTGTGTGAAAGGGCGTGCGGTTGTTTTCGAGCTGTCTGATTTATTTATTTAATAACTCTTTCCATTTATAGAATAAACACAAATATCTCAATCATTTACCACAATTGAAATTATTATTTTCGAATTCCTCAGAAACGGTAAGGGAAGTGAAAACCTTGAACGCCTAATTGCGTATGTGGTTTTGAATTTTCATTTTGAATTATTTAAATGAGTGTTTCGTCATTTTATGCCTAAATATAAACTTAAACTTATAAGAATTATCTGGGAGCTTATGTATTTGCAGTTCGATGGACATCTTTCATGACACAGAGCTAGTTTTCAGCGATACTTACGCACCCAAGCATTCAAGAACGCTTTTAGTGAATACAAGTAAGATTTGTCGGATCTTCGAAAAATCACTAAAATCTCATCTCTTAGACGCACCTCTACACTCAATCAACTCCAATGTTCCTCCATCAGCGGGAGTATTCAGTTTTCCTTCTCACTCCCCGTTTGCAGATAGATTTTTCTTATGGTAAGTGTTAGGGTAATAGGACGACTTCATCATTGAAAAAAATTTTCAGGAGAGCTATAGGCCAAAAATTATTTATTGAAGAACGATCTTTGTGTAAAACTGTTGTCGGTGGAACGTTATGTCTTGATTTTGCCCGTACATCGATTGTACCTGGAACTTCGATTACGCTACTGGATCAGAACATACTATGTATTATTGTTCCCACACAATCTACCGTTCATCGATTCCATGCTCGACTTGTTCATGACATATCTGATCTCTTAACCGGTGATACCTGTAACGGGCTTCTGTCCGAAATTAGTGATAGCGAATTTTTGAATGATTATCATTCTTCTTATTTATTAACAACCAACGGCCAAGCTACTAAAGCTGCTTTCGTCGACTTACAAGATAATGGAAGCGTAGCAAAGGTGATTCTGTCTCCATCATTCATAACTATTTGTTTTTTTAAGATTGCATATTGTATGGCTGAAGGCGATCTTGTTGTTGTCACTTTGCCCGCTTCTAAAGGTATTATTGCTTTTTGTTTCTTAAGCTAACTTATTGTTTCAGGACATGGCAGTGAAATTGTGCTTAAAGAGAAAGGGTACTTGTCTCGTATGATCTCAGGTTTTTGATTCTTTCCAATTTTTGAAAAAATGTTTTTGTTCAGGAACAGCTTTGAAAGAAGGTGTTGCCGATGTAGCTGGACTCATTAGCAATGGGGAACTGAAAGACGTAGAATCTTTTTATGCTGTGCATCGTGATTTCCATTTACGTGTTTGGAACAATGAGGTTCGAGAGCACAATAATATATTTTTAAATGAGGGACGTTTATCAGACTGGAAAATCCCGATCCCTTCCATTAGCACAGATAGATAGCTCTTTGAAGAGTTTCCCTGATATCAATGCAGGTTTGATAATTTAGAAAAATGTATGTGGAACATTTGTATTTCAGACTCTTCTTTGAATGTCAGAGCTTGTCATATTAACGGATTAAACTTCGTAATTGTTTTCATTGCCTTAGCTGACCAAACCGTCCGAGTTAGTACCACTTCTCATTTCATTTTTAAAATATTCCATTCAGTTCCATTTCATTCTTGACCACAACAAAAAGCTCCAAAAAGTGTGTTCTATCAATGGCGAGAAGGTATTGGCTTGTTACTATATTTGAATTTAAATTTATTTTTAAGAGAGGTCAAATATTAGATTATGGACTGTCCTTCCAAAGTGGTGAACATCCTAAGTTATGGGTATTGTGGAATAACCTCTCTGTGTCGAATGAATACCAACTTGAACATATTGACGTCTCTCTGTAAGTTTTTCTGAAGTTATTTCCCGTTATTCTTGTTTTACTATAGTGATATTAACAACTCTTACGTGGGTTCATGGGATAGAGTGCTGCCTTACTCCTCTCCTAAGAACGTAAATCCAAACATGACCATTGTTGAATTACAAGAAACTCTGTTCAATGCTGATTGCTATCCATACGATGTGGTGCATCGCGCAATCCAGGTTAGTTTTTTTCTCTATTTCATGCTTATTGTGTAAACTTCAGATTTGCTGTAAAGAAAACATAAACTCTGACAAGCATGGTAATTGGGAATACTTATCTGATGTTCTTAAAACTTATGTTCGCTCGCCTGAGGTATGTTATTCTGAAACTTTCAATGTTCATCATATGTTCTAGTTCGATAACCGTTATGTCGATCGCAGAAAATCCTTGAGAGTTCCCAATAAAGAAATGCATGCGGAAGCTGAAAAACGATTGATGTTCGAGTTGGGTTCAACTTGCGATCAACTAGAAGCTGCTGCTCGCGGTCCTGTCGGATTATTCATGCTTGATATCCCTGGAGCCTGTATTACCGGTGTTGTTCAACAGGTATGTTAAGAATTACTTGCATTACTTTCATTTTTCTTTTCGCAGGACAGATTCTCAGTCGTTTCTCATACATGCAGGTCACTGAAGAACGCCTTCAAAACCAATGAAGCTGAAATCACTCGAGTTTTCCAAATGGTGGCTGAGACCGAAGTTTGTGATCTTTAATTTTCTCAGTTTATTTCTCATTTCCAGGATACCTCAGAAGAGAGTAAGGAAAACTACTCTGAAAACGACAATTGGTCAAGCTTCGACAATAAGTTCTTCGAGCGTTGGAAAAATCTTTTCAACGAGTTCAGCAGTTTTGCAAGTGCGGAAATGTGTGTTAGATCACGTAAGCATAAACCAGTTTAACTTTTTCAAATCACACTCTGTCTTTCAGCCTTGGCTCAAACAGTTAAAACCGTTTTTGCTGGTCAGTTCACTTCTGGACTTGTGTTCGCTACTCTGTGGAAGAGAACGCGACAACGTTTGAATTTCATCCAGAAGCTGAGACAAATCGTCTCCACGTATAAGGTACGATGGTTTTTGGTTAATTCAAACTAACCATGTTCCTTGAAGGCCGAATCAAATGGACGTAATCAAATAAGACTTATGGAGAAAACTATGCATAGTTTGAGTGAAAAGTACATCCAATTGCTTGCTCAACTCGACATGAAAGTTGCCAGGTAGTTTCTAATGCTCTAGATTTGAAGAAATCCTTGTTATAGTAGCGATACTGCTAGTAAGTTCACAGTACTTGGTAGTTGGTATTTGGAGAAGAATGATCTTAGTACAATTCTGACTGAAGGAGGAGTAGCTCTGTCCACTAAAGACGAGATGTCCGATTTCTCTAACTTCGTGGAGTCCTCATATTTGGTTTGTTTGAAGTCTGAAACCATATAATCGTTGCTGTTTTTAGGCTGCTCTATCAACACTGCTTCACAACTCATCTTCACTGTTACTCTTCCGAAGCCTTGTTCAACACAAGCAGTTCTTAACTTTGAAGGTAGTATTTCGAGTTTTTCACAATAAGTCATCCTGTCACTTCAGAAGCTTTGCACGTTGTATGGCACACCTCAGACCGAGCTGGTTGACGTGATCAAATTCTATACTGCCATCGCTTATTCTGGAACAGGACAGCCTGTTAAAGTGAGTTCGATAAAGAAACTAAACTGATGAGTTCGTTGTAGGCTATGAACGCGTTCTTGGAAGCATCTGTTGGAGTTTCTCAACAAAACCCCGCTATGCTCAGAACTTTGAAATCTCTAGGAACTGTGAAAGAAGACGTTACCTTAGGCGATTATTACACTTTGGTTAGTTTTCAGCTGTTATATCTGTATACCTATGTTCTTCAGACTATTAGTTATCTCAGCGATCATGGACATAGTGAAGAAGTTGTTGAAATGTCTAAACGAGCCATCGAGTTGTTACCAGAAGGAAACGAGAGCACAAGTCGTATTTATGCTACACTTTTCAATCATTTGATGAACAAAGCTAACTGGGTGGATGCTTTGAACACAATCAAGAAGAATAAGGTAGGTGATATCCTTACGGCTAACTTAAATCCAACGTTCACAGAACACGGAAGATCGTCGTTTGACGTTACGAGAGTTCATCACCCGTCTTTTACATGCGAAGGAATATAAAACCCTTGTTGAGTTGAAGTATGCCGAGTTAGAAGACAATGTTTGTGATCGAGCTCAAGCTTAATCTTATTTGGTTGCCTAGGTTGAAGATATTCTGCTCGGTGCTGCAAGATCTCAAGATGTCCATGCCAGTCCTCATCTGTTCGAGATTGTTTTCTCTTATTATACTTTCAAATCTAATCATGTCAAAGGTAGTTTTCCGTTTTCTGAAAGCAATAAGACTCTTGGTTATAGCGGCACATGCGATGTACGAGTACGCTGTTTACTTAAGTCAAGTCACCCAAACACTGGAGCTACTGAAAAAGAGAAGAGATGCAATTGCCATCGCATCAGCTTCTATGGATATCTTGTCTTCTGACGACAGATTCTTGTGGTTCCCAGAAGAGGTTTGTTTTTGTTTTTTCTTGACCTGTAAAGAATATTTTCTTAGGTTCATGAGATTGATTATGACGCTTTGGGGAACATGAATGCAAGTGATTTACCCGAGGAAGACATTCCACTCATAAAGAAGAGAAAAATGAGAATTATCACACCTTCTGAGTATGATACGGACTTGTTCAGTGTTTCTTTAAAACTTTTTCTTTCAGAAGTACTGATGAGTTCATCATTGCTAATGCCAGAGTCATATTAATGCTGAATAACGGTGAAGTTCCCCCAATTGCTCCTGAAGATATAGTCCGCTATCTAATCGAAGCCAAAGAGTTCGATTTGGCTTTTGAGATCTGCGCGTAAGCTCAGCTCATCTATATGTAATTGCTCAATTTCCATTATTAGAAAATGCAATGTTGCTCCATACGACCTCTTCTATACTGTTGCGAAGGAATCCATCTCATTAGACATCCTCCAACCTGCTATTTCTCCTGACTGGCTTCAAAAAAATCGGAGGTTTACTGAAGGAAAAACTGTCGGGTAAGTAATTCTCTCAATGATGCTTTGAATAATCCATGTTGTAGTGATAACTGGTCAGTTGCCATGGGACTACTCTCAGCAGCCAAGAAAGTTTGGCCCACAGATTCACGACCATACCGAGCTTACACCACTGCTGTACTTAGCCTTAAATTAAACGTACCATGCTGGCTCCATGCTTCCTACGCTGTATGTATTCCTCACACGTTTCTGATCCTCAGATTTTGATATTTAGGACTTCGACATCGCAGATTATGTCAGATGTTTGCTGGATTATGACGTGTTACCAACCGCTTTTGCTGCCCTCTGTGATTATATTGAACGGGAAACTGACAAAGTAAGTAACAACGCAGAAGATTCAATTAAATATCATTATTGTAGCTGAAATCAGTCGATGCCAAGACATGGCTACCCTACACAGCCATCGATGAAGTTTTGAAAGTCTCTGTAAAGCCAGAGAATAAAGAGGTGAGTAATGAGATTCTCCGGGCTCTCTTCTGACTCATTATTTGCAGTTAATACAAAGGCTGAATGACCGACTAAAGATTTATAAATCTAGAATAAGTTCATTCGAAACCGCTGCTAGATTTGCCTTCTGAACATAACTGGTATTTAATTGTTTGAATTTAATTCTAATCGTATCTCATTGTTGTAATTGTGCTTCTTGTTGCTCCATATCTTGTTATGTTTTACGACATTTGTAAAAAAACAGTCAAACACTACATCTGTTTTCGATTTTGTTGGTGCTCATGACACATCGCTGCCTGTTACCTCTTTCATTCAGTTTTTCTATATATGGATTCAGGGTTTCACAGGTTTAAACCGGATGGATGAGAGCGATTGTATTGTGCTGGACTCTAAGGAATCAGTGAGTAATCCCATTCGTTTTTGTTTCAACTTGATGTGCTTAAGAGTCCAATGCCAGCACCTGCCGTTTATGGGATTCCTACTTCTTTCAAAGATGATAACTTATGCCAGTTTTCCTTCAGTGACTCCACCCGCCGATCTCTCTCACAACCCATAACATTCAATGAGTTTTACATGAAAGTGAGTTGAATTGAAGTTAACATTCCTATTTCAAGCTTCAGGATGATGATAAAGAAGATGATGTCTTGGAAGCACTTAGCACTAGTGCTCAAGCTTTGGTCAGTCCTGTGAAAAAACGATGTAAGAAACAACCATCTATCCTTGATGAGTTCTTCGGAGTTTATTGTCTGATCAGTAGAAGCCAGTTGAAACATTATAAGGTAAGAGGTAAAGAAGTACTTGTGAAGTTAAGTCAAATTTTTCAGAATAGATGTTATATAGGATATACTGTCGATCCGAATCGGAGAATCAATCAGCATAACGGTGGAAGAGAGAAAGGAGGTGCCAAGAAAACTGATAGTAAAGGACCCTGGTAGGTTCGTTTAGCTTCTTGAACTGAGAAGAAGAATGCTTTCCAGGGATATGGTTTGTATTATCCATGGTTTCCCGAACAGTGTGGCTGCTTTACGGTTCGAATGGGCTTGGCAGAATCCGGAGAAATCGAAAGCCATCAAAGATCTGAACCTCAAAAAAAACAAGAAAGAAACCCCCTTTGCGTTCAGGTTTGAATGAAAAATTTTCCGATCAAATTTGAATATCTGCAGGCTTCGTATTGCTTGTCATCTGCTGAACAGTTTCCCTTGGTGTCGATATGCCCTAACTTTTCGATGGCTGCTTGTCGTATGTTTTGCAAGTTATTCAAATTTCATTGACGGATTTCCAATAGAGCGAAGAGCTGCCGTTTCCTTCTGATGTCCCTATACCATCACACGTTCGAACAGCTTATGGTTTAGTAGAGAAAACCTCCACGCTAATCCCACAAGAGTCTCGACAATACGTTAATCGGGGAAGTTGTTCACTTTGTAAAAAGTCTATTGAGAGGGTAACTTAGTATACATCAGTTATATCTTTCACTTTCCTTTTTCAGCTCATTCATATTCTGCGTTGTACAGATTGTAAGGCATGTTTTCATTCTAAATGCTTAGCTGAGTATAATCTGAAGGACGAGAAAAAGTATTACTTATCTAGTGGCTTTCACAAACATTTTTCGTTTCAGATCTCAACTTTTCCCACTCCATTGTGAATGCCCGAAATGCTTTGCCAAGTTCTTCTGGGGTGATATAATCAGAGACCAGCATCATATGCTGAAAATTGATGAAGCTAAAAGCGAAGATCTCGAAAAAGGAAGTGTTCCACTTACACTAGCACCTGCTAATTAATTATTTTCTAACTTTCTTACTTGTATATATTTGTTTATGCTGATTATTTCTGTGATATACATTGAATTTGACTTCTATTCGTGAGACGTTCATTGGGTCTGAGTCCCAGTCTACTTTACTAATGCTCAAGTTTTATTTCTTGTTAAAGCATAATTACAGAATGATCATCCCCGTTCGTTGCTTCACTTGCGGAAATGTCACTGGTGATAAATGGGAGGCTTATCTTGGTCTTCTTCAATCTGACTACACAGAAGGTTGCATTCCATCCAATGACCCTTGGTCATTTTTCTATTTTAAGGTGACGCTCTTGACGCTTTGAACCTCCGTAGATATTGCTGTCGCCGAATGCTTCTCTCTCATGTGGATTTGATCGAGAAACTTCTGAATTACGCTCCTTTGGAGAAGTAGAAGTGATGATCTTCTGATAACGTTGTTGCTTTTTTTATGTTCCACATATTCATAATTTGATCGTTATTGCTTTCTGACTGAAACTTGTAAATCATTGGTTATAAAGTACCCAAGTAGTTTGCCGTTCTCATATCAGCAGGTTGACAATCCTGAACTATTATCTTTTTGTTTTTTGTTCGCGTTTTATTCGTTATTTGTAGTTTATAATCGATCAATCGTATTCTCTTATGGTCAGTCGCGAGATAGACGACTGACCCGGACGTCGAGCGTTAGCCTGTTTTCGTTCGTAATTTCTTTTCTCTCTCGTTCTTCTTTATCTTTTTTCTCGGTGCTATGCATCCTTCCACGACCCTTTCAGTCTCATTCTAGATTTTTCTCTTTATGTTGTCGTTATACCTTGTACACGCGTTCACGTAGCACTCATGAATTAGTTTTTGCTTTTCAGTTACGGCTTGTATCAGAGGTTTAGAGTTTTGAATATTAGAATATGGCTCGTAAGTTCAAGCTGTTACTTGTGATTCTAATGTGTTCCTCATGTTGCAGGTGGAAATCAGCGTGATTTAGCTCGTGAGAAGAACCTCAAGAAACAAAATGAAGCCAAGAAGAAGGCTGGAGCTAATCAGAAGGACGGAAACGCTGTACGTCCTTATTAACTCAGTAATATTAGAGTGTTTCTTAAGTTCGGCCTTATTCATATGACCACCCGAACTGTTCTCTAAGCCTTTTAGTTTTAGTCATTCCTTTAATCAGTTCGTTTCATTTTGAGATTATATTTTTTGCATCATCAGTGTTTAGTAGAACATTCTGAAGACAATTGGGAGATGCTTTCTGTTGCAGGGTTTGAGCACTGATGCGAGAATGAACAGAGATGCTGAAGCTATGAGAATTAAGCAACAAAAGGCCTTAGAGAAAAAACAAGAAGAAGATGCTAAAGCCGCTGGTCAAGCTAAGAAGGTCGCTAAGGTTGATCCATTGAAGATGTAGAGCTTAGATTGTTATATTGTGTTCACATCTTAATCATTTCCTTCTGATCTTATTTCGCTTTTAACTTATCTCTCGATTTCTTGTTCCATCTTATTTCCTCCCAAAGTCTCAATGGCATCCTTGTCTGTATACGAACTTCTGAGTTCCTAATAGTTCTGATGAAATAAAGTTGGTTCAAGAGGTAGTCTCTCTGTTCGTTCAGAATACGTTTTGCAGGTTTTTTTTTCAAGAAAATCAGGTTAAGTTTCCCCTCCAGCAGTGGCAACTATTCGTTCGCTTCGTTGTGCGAGTTCTTACAGCGGTCAGCTGTCTTGTCATCACAACTCGGAATGCTAGCACACCTCTCTCTCTTCGTGGAAGTGTGTATTTCTCTTCTTTTGCTGCCTGCTCGCTTGCACGAAACTCATTCATCTCTCATTTCCAAGGACCAATCCCCTCATACACACAGGAAGAATGAGAGGCACAAAGTAGCAGCAGATTGTCAGATCCTTCTTCATCCCTCCCTCTCTTTCATTTGCTTACTCTTTCATTTTCCCTCTCTTGCTATTACTCACTATTAGCTTCAGTCTCAGAGAAACATCTGATGAAGTTTCAGTCATTAACTTCTTCATTACTTTCTAAATATTTCATTGAACGGTAAGAAAAAGAGTTCAACGAGCTCTCATGTGTAGTTTCGTCATTGCAAGTGGTCGTTGTAGACATCTTGTTGGTTCATTTTCAAATTGTTTCTTTTCTATTTTGTTTTCGTTCGTTTGTCTGTTACTTGCATCATTGACGATTAGTTCCCTATATGTAGCTCTACAGGACTTGCCTGTTGAAGACAAAACGCTTCTTGCAATTCTTGTGTTGTAAGACAAAAACTGTGAGGATATTTATTTGTTAACTCGTTTGTCTAAATCAGGAATTCTGTATCCTCAGTATGAGAGGTTGCCCTACATGACTATCTCCGTCAGCGTTTGGTTCCTCTTCTTCTTCTTCTTCGTTCATTCATCATCTTCCTTCCTATTCGCTTACTTCGAAGAATTGTTATTAATGAGAAGCTGATGGCGGACGCTTTCCAAAAAGTCCATTCTTTTTCTTTAATATTTTGTTGTTTCAATTGTCGACTGGCATTTGTCAACTGGCTTAATCCTATTGCATTTGTTCGGACTGCACATGAATCTGTTTGCTTCCTTAGATTGTCTTGTCCCTTCTGACTTTTCAAGTTGCTTCGTAATTCTCCCTCTCTCTCTCTCTCTATCTCTTTCTCTTCTTTCATCTCTCACACTCTTCCTCTTCCATAACTTTCCATATGTGGTCGTCACAAATTCGACTCTTTCACTCTTAAGTTCTTTTGTCATTTTGTCTTTTACATCGACTATCACACCCTCTCTCTTCCGCCATCCCTCCCTTTCCTTCACTTTTTTCGTTTTCACTTGTCTTTCATTTCGTGTCTCTGGTCATTTTATTTTTTTCATCCATTTTTCGCAGAACATTTCAATTGCTTTCATCTGTTCAAGTACAGAGCTGTCATGTCTATGTGCAACTTGGTTAGATTATCAGCCTGTAAGAGCAAGCTGTTTGATAGGAAAAAAATGACTGGAATGAAGAAGCGCATATAAAAGAACTTGAATATCCATGTGACATTATTTTCGAACTCTCATCCATCATTATATTGGAGGGCTTGGCTCGACAGACTGAAACTTCTGAAATGTGAATGCTTGAGCATCATCCGATTGGCAACATGGTCAATGCTTTCATCATAATGATTATGAGTCTCATCATGCTGTATCATCAGATTCCTTGCATTCATTCGCTTAACGGATGATGAGGAAGAGCTGAACAACTTGAATGAAACAAGCGTCATGGGTGTGAAACCATCATCTGATGATAAATGACATAATTGAAGTTAATTTGAATAAATTCAAAATATGCCTTTCCTTCTTCATTTTCATGTTTATATTCCCTCGAGATGACATAGAATGTGTGTGGTAGATGGTTGCTTCATCTTGTCTTCGCTCGTTTCGTTTCAGCCACAAGGCTGCTTGTTGCCTTTACATGCCCATTCGGTAATTTTTCCAAACACTTTCCTCCCCAGACGCTCTGTCTCTTCTTCCTCCTCCCCCCCGTCTTCCATGTGTTGCTCTTTGATGATCTATTATTGATATTCATTTAATATTTAGCTGATACATCGTCTCACAAAGTTTTCCCGTATTCTCCTGTACATCGACAGCTTTGCTTCCGCCCTTAGGGAACTTATCGCTTCACTCTATGCTCCTTCTTCTCAAGCCCTCAATGAATCTTAGCATTTTATGATCTTCTCATTGATGTGATTGCATTTGATAGATCATTAAAAGCTTTCAACTTCCTCAACCGTAGTTAAGACCTAGCCCTTTCTATCCCTCTATCTCATACTCTCACTCTCCCTCTCTCCCTCTCTCTCTCTCTCTCTCTCTCTATCTACGATTATTCCTTTTCTTTTTGCTATTTTCTTACTCATCTACTCCCCCTCCCTCTTCTTCAGCTTTAATTCCTTCAATATGCATAACTATGAATTTCTAATCCCGCGTTTAGTCCTTTTAAAAAAATTCAAACAAACAACTTCTGCAAGTGGACCATGCCTTCTCTCTCTTTTTCGCATTTCCCCCTCCAGCTTTCTAATACGATCAAGCATTTGATATGATTCTAATGATAGCAGCTTTGTTCTTTCTGCAAAGCTGTTCTGTTCAAATTATTCGTATGCATTACTAAACCTATCATTCCCTCAGGCGATATGTTGCTTTCCATTATAGTTTGAGAGTCTATTGAGTTCTATGTGTTCTTCTGTTGTCTTTGATCTTCTTCAGTCACTTATTTTTTTTTTCCTCGCCATACGTTTACTTCATTCGTCAATTTTCTTGTTCCTTTCCATTTTCACAATTTGTTCTGACTCTGATTGATCCCGTTATCCTCTCAAATCACTAACAGTGGCGATCTTTGATTGTTTGAACAGCAGCACAATACGTCTCCTGAACTTTATTGTAATTTTTTGTTTGAAACAAGAAATTCTTCACGTGATGCACTTGCTATAGCTTCACGTACATTTTAATCACTCGGATGATGTTGAACTTTCATTTGCATCCATGCCAGCGCTGATGAACGGTTGTGTGTCTCATAGCTTCCTCATCAGAATAAAGTTCATCCAAGTGTTTCGCGTCTGAGACAGTCGATTCTTTTCGACCCACTAAGGCAATTTGAACATTTCTTTAGCATTCTCTCTATTCGTGCTATGGCTCTCTCTCTCTTTCTATGCCTTCTGAATACGCAATTTCATTAGTCAAGCTTCATAAGGCCGGCAGTCTAATTCATGTCATCGTTAGTTTTTTTTGTTCCATTTTTATTAGTTCATAATCTGTAGTTTACGATCGTTCGCCATAAAACAGTTAAATTAACTCAATTTCTTGAAAAAAACGAAAAAGGAAGAAGAAGCAGAAGCAGATATGGCTGATCTGGTTATCGCTTGTGTGTTCTTTCACATCGCATGCCATCAGACTGCTAGAGAGAGAGAAGAGAGAGAGAGAAAGATAGTACAACATACTTGCTTTTCCTATAATTTCCAAAACCATTTACTTTCGCTTCTCATGCGATTATGACACTCGTCGCCATCGGTCTCTCTCTCCTTACTCATACACCCACACTTAACCATCAAAGCACATTCTACGTTTTTTCCTCATTTTTTTGTTCTTCAAATTGGCAGCTTAGTCTCGGCTTTCCGCTTTCTGTTCAATTTCGAACCATTCTAAGAAAATAATTCTGTTTTTCTGTTTTTAACCCACCAAAACTCATACAGCTTGTGATGAGACACAACCGAAAAGCTTTCGCATCCATAAAGCTCACACAGTCCTCTACTAGTAATGAATGGCCAGCTGAGCCACACAAGCTTCCACGTTCTCTCATTCGCATATTGAGAGATATGGAAGATGAAGATGATGAATGCTTCCTATGATTACCTTGTCAACATACATGGCTGGATTGCTGCAATGTCAATTGAGCTTCGGTATGAAGCAGTACACGGAACATGAGTTATCTGTTGCTTCTTAAGCTTTCCCTGTCGCCTTGTTTTCCAAGAGTTTCCAGCTCTTTCACAACCTCATTCACATCTTCTCATCATGTATATGCATTCCATCTTGATGTTACATTCATCTGAGAATGATTACATTCCATAACGGAGTAACTAAACAACCAACTTCCTTTACTGAACATCGGAATGCAACCGATCCACATGAACTGTGTGTACAGAATGATACATCATCATCTAGCATTAGAGCACGTTTGTTATTTGAGAAGTTGTTATCACTTTCAAAAGTATTTTTTTTATTTCAAAAATAGTTTTCAATCAGTACTTTCAAGTTATTTTTAATCTTTCCTCTCCTAACCTTCAGTACTAATTTTAAATTTGTTAAATGAAATGTTTGTAAAAAATACTTTGAAATGATTAATTTAAAGCGTTCAGTTACTCTGTACCCGCATACCCTCTACTCCTCCTCCTCCTCCTCCTCCTCATCCTCCTCAACCTTCCTCCCTCTCTCTCTCTCTCTCTTACTCTACTCTCTTCCATACTCTTTGACTTATTGATTAATTATCATTTTCTATTCGAAAATTTTTATTATTTTTTTTGCTTTGTTGGTCTGTGAATGCCATCTCCACTTGTTTCGTCTATGTTAGTATAGTGCTTTGAAATGGATTAAAGTGGATGGAAAAAAACAAGAAAAGGAGAAAAGAGACTTATTGCCAAATACGGCAAGCTATTCGTATGAACAGTGAAGGAGGAAGAAGAGAAACATCGTCCTACATCACACCAATATGCGAATGTGGTAGTTTTCAAATAACTTTTGTTATCATACCACTAGAGATGAATAGAGGGAGATAGACAGGGAGAGAGGGAGAGAGAGAGAGAGAGAGTAAGATGATTCCAAAGAAATAACCTTCGTTGTTGAGTTGTAAAATGTTTTTTCTCTCCCTCTCTCTCTCTTTCTCTCTCT